GGAGAATATATAATTATAAAATTATGTTTAATCAATGTTGTATCAGTACACTGTTGGCCAGTAAGCTAGGTTCGGTATGCTTGGCTGCTCGCCCAGCACCCCCCCCCCCCCTAGAGAAATCTTGCCGGATCCACCACTGAACCTTTTAAGAAATGAATGTATTTGAAGTATTTGGATTATTCAATGTTAATGCAATCTCAAAAGAATCAATTGTGATTGGCTAAGAACTACAGACAATCCTCAATGTTTATCCACCTAAAACAACATTGAAAATTGCCTGTTGGTGACATGATTTTTTAATGAGACACCTGACAAGGTTTTCTTCCCTGCCATTATAATATGATAATTGCATATTAAAACAATTATTGAATTTGGGTTTCGCATGACATCAAGACCGGTCAATGTTATCTGCCAAAGCCAAAGGTTGAGGTCTGGATAGTTCTTGATATCATGCTCATCCTCATCCAATATGTAATTGTTGAATGTTTTTACAATTGTATCCCATTTTTGTTTCTGCATCTTGCTCTCTCTATTTTACAAATAGAGCCTGACACAAACCTTGCTATTCCACTCAAGTATATTTTTGTATAAAGTATCAAATCAAAATGTCCAGGGAGAAATGTCAATTTCATATAAAAACAACAATCTAATTAAAGTTACAACTTGCTAAATATATAATAGTAGTATCATATAATTAGGATTAACCAATATTAACATAGTATTATCCGATTAACTAGGATTATCCGATCACAAAGATACATTAAATATGGTCTGATATACTTGTGCTAGAAATAGCCAGTCAGAGCTACATTCAATATTTTGCACCTATATAATATGTCAGTTTGGATAACTCCTGTTTTTTAATTTCTGTAGATATACCTAATTAATCAACTCAAACAGATGCCTTTGTTTTGGCAGCCAGTTGGGACCACAACAATGAACAATGATATATTTTCTGGATACAAGAGCTTCAATAGCATCAAATAGGCAATTCCAGCTTTTAGTTTATGCCTGCAGGGGATGATGGGAAGTAAGGTATCGTGGTGCTGATTATGAAAAATTTCAATAAAAACTACCGAAGCAACCAAAATATTTTAATATTTACAAGTATAAGCTATCACTCCGTGTATACACAGCAATGTGATACCTTACTTCCCATCGTTCCTGCACGCATAAACTAAAAGCTGGAATTGCCTATTGTCCTGGTCTAAACTTCCAATGTCCAAGTTCTAGTTTACAGCACCATCCATTGAAATTCTTTCTGGAGTTGTAGGCAATCTTCCACTTTCAACAGTTTCTCATCAACTTTTGGTAGCAACAGTAGTGGCATCATTGGAACAATTTATATCATTGCCAAATGACACTTTGTATTCTGTGTACATTAGTTCATACTAGATTGACACATCATCCATGGAATTATTCTGTAGAATAATTAAGATATTTGTATGTTACCATAGTCACTACTATATAGGTTCACCTGGCAATTATAATGATAAATCTAATTAATTATTGTTATTTGTTGTTTTAAAATTTCCAAAATGAAAGTTTTGAACCCATTTATTGGGTCGTTCCAGAAAAGATCCACACTCCCCTCACAGAGGAAATTTTTGCAGTTGAGACAAAGAATTGTTTCTGATAATAGGGGGGGGGTTACAATTCCCTCTCTGGGGGTGGTATGGATGTTTTCTGGAATGACCCATTAGCTTTACCATGATACAGTATAAAGTACATCAAATAAACAGACATATGTATAAAATACAAGTGGCAGGGTTATTGCAACAGAAATTATACTCCCAATAACTGTGGGCCACCTTTGATAATATAAGCCACCAGAGTTCAGTGCATGTAAACATTTCACACAAACATTACAAACCTTGGGTGGTATAAATGGCCATTTATTATGCTACCAAGAAGGCAACAACCTTGCAACAACTAGGTTCATCCAAGAGTTGCAAATTATAAAAAGTACACACTGTGCCAAATCAAATACATATACACTGGGGACACAGCAATGAATACATACTTTATAGTACATATACTTTGTATTTTTATTCAATCAAAAATAATATATTTAATATTTACATACCGTCTCTAATCGCAGATTCGACAATTGTTTCACTGCGTGCAGCGTTTCACCCAGAGTGCATATGCTGTCATTGAATTTCAAGGAGCGATGTTTATTTATATAAACTTTGAAACGTTTCTTCGGTCCAACGTCGTCAAAAAACTTCCTCGTTGTTCTCAATGCACTTTGAGCGAACCAATTCATCGCAAACTTTAAGGTTTGCATCCTGAAACGGCCTATTTGTCGCCATGAATAATTCATGAGTAATTCAATATTCTTATGTTTGTAATTGGACGCCATTTTGGAAACATTATATGGCAGAGCCTTACGTAGCTTCCGTCTTCCCATCATACCTTGCGTAATTTGTCCTCCCCCCCTTAATATTACGCAATTTTACTAAAAATTCGTAAGGCTCTGCGGAGGAGAGTGTAATTTGCCTATAAAACTGAAGAAATATAAGAAAGAAGTTCCCGGTAAAATGACAACCACAAATTTTCGAAGAACGAATATAATCTGACAGTTTATCTTTTATTACCTCCGCCAGGAGGTTATGTAATCATCTGGGTTTGTATGTGTGTGTGTGTGTGTGTGTATGTGTGTGTATGTGTGTGTGTTTGTCTGTGAGCACGATAACTCAAGAAATACCAAACATATCCGTACGAAATTTTTTGAATGCATTTCCCATCGGCTAAGGAAGAACTGATTAAAATTTGGTTGAATTTGGTTAAAAATTGAACGAGAAATGAACAAAATTTTGTCTTGCTTTTCCCGGTCAATTAACAAAAAATATTACTGAATGCGTAATTAGGACATGCATAATTTATGCACTCAGTGCTAAGACAATAATGAGATGATAAACCTCATTAAGCTTCGGCCTTCATTATCTATTGTCTTAGTTGCATTTCACGCGACCGAAATTCAATGTCTAAAACAAGGCGTACGGAGTTACGCATTATTACGTTCAGCAAAGTGCCAGTCCATTCAAATTCTAACAACATTAGATTACTTCAATACAGGGTGTATAAAAAGAACGCAACCTCGGAATTTCCCAAGAAATCGACATTGTTTTAAAGACAAAAGATTTTAGCTGCCTGGGAATTTAAAATAGCACAACTGTGAAAATTACTGCACGCGCGAGTGCATAGTAAAGCAAAAATTATGCATTTATTTAATGACACTTAATAAGTTTTTATTTTACAAGTACTGTACAGTACAACAGTAGTAATATGTTTTATTAGCAATTCGATTTCAATTCGCGGGGGCCTGAAATATTTTATGCTTAAGAATTATAAAGTGGATTTCTTAGGAAATTCCAAGGTTGCGTTTCACTTCCGAGTAACGGGCGGAGGTATGCAGTCTCTGAGTGCCCTCTAGTTAATAATGTAATCTACAATTTTCTCCATATATAACTTCGAACTCAACTTTTTGTGATAGCATACTAGGGCTGCAAATTACTGTCGGACATCGGACAATGTCCGACTAAATTTGGCAAATGTCCGAGCAAAAGTAATTTTGATCGGACATTGGTCTGATAACAAAAAAATTTGTCACATTATACATTTTTTTGCTGTGACAAAATCCTATTGCAAATTTGCATTTTGCAATAAGGCGTTCTAGCATTTTACTTAATGTTGCACCGGAATGGCTATACATACTTGTCTCGTGACATATATATTTTGTGACGTATATATGTCCGACCAAATTTAGTGATGTTGGTTTTTGTTCGACCAAATTCAAGTTATATCCGACCAAAATTAAAAGTGATTGGACAAATGTCCTGTCAAGTCAAATATTTATTTGCAGCCCTGCATACTATCTTCACACTGCCATATGGCTGGTATTTTGGGTGTAAAACCGGTGTCACAGGAACATGGGCGTACCGGAAGGAAAAATTTAGGGGGGCGGAAAGAAATTTGCCCGACTTTTCCGCATTTTGCCCGACAAGTACCGAAAATTTTTTTTCCGGAATTTTTTTTAGCGACCTCTCTCCCCCCCCCCGTCGCCAAAAAAAATTTCGGTCAGTGTACCATTTAAGGGGTCAAAAATTTTTTCCGGACATACTAAATTTTCCGGAACCTAACAAAAATTTTGGAAACATCACAAAATTGACCTCAAAATTTATAGAATTTGTCCCATTTATTTTTTTAATAACCCAAAATTGCCCGACTGTTCAGCGAATTTTGCCCGACTGCCCAACAAACTGGGGGGCTACCGCCCGCCCCCCCCATCCCCCCCGCCCGGTACGCCCATGCACAGGAATTTCCCGAGAATTGTCAGGACACGTGTCTAAATCGGAAAAAACGTTTTTCTTCTCCTGCCTACACGCGTAAAAATCATGAACTTGTAGTTGCAATGTTGATAAAAACAGGTGCAACAGTAATGTGCTACGCCTATTGTTCACGAATGTTAACAATATTGTTCAGCATTGTTGCACCCCATTCAAGATGAATAATATTAATTGTTTTTGTTTGTGGAAATACCACGTAAATTTACGTGGTGTTTCCACAAACAAAAACAATTATATTTTATCGCCATGCAAACATTCAAAGAACTTATGAATAATATTGTTCAATGTTGTTGACTGTAAAAAACAGGTCAGCATAATATTGTTGCAACCTGTTGTACAGTACAGTACAGTACAGTACAGTACAGTACAGTACAGTACAGTACAGTACAGTACAGTACAGTACAGTACAGTACAGTACAGTACAGTACAGCACAGTACAGTGCAGTACAGTACAGTACAGTACAGTACAGTACAGTACAGTACAGTACAGTACAGTACAGTACAGTACAGTACAGTACAGTACAGTACAGTACAGTACAGTACAGTACAGTACAGGCAGTACAGCAGGCTCAGCGTTTTTGGCCGTGTAGAATTGAACTAACTAACTGAACAAACTAAAAAACAAAACAATATCGAAATCATGCCACGTCAAATTTGAGCACCAAACTCTCGTAAAAAGCGCACATGTTCTGGTGTTAAATAATATGGCAGCCAATTTGGTACAGTTACGCAGGCAGGGTTAAAATATGGCTGCTTCATCTTGAGGCAACTCAAATTTACATGGAAATATACATTTTGTTCTTTGAACATCAACTGTCGATCAGGAGTATTAGGGTTAGGAAAACCTCTATTCATACGTGTAATAATCGTCAAATCATACGGTGGACTTGCGATAATCCCGCCGAGTTTTAACGATTGGGAACACCCAAAACAGGTGCGAACTAAAGGAGGACAACACTGCAAAAGACTAAGAACAAATGTTCCTACTGGAGGATTGACAGCGGTAGGTAATGGGGCCTGTTGGGATCCTTGTGGCGTTGCTGACGCTGACCGAGGTGCATAAACTGGCTGTTGCATTGACGTCACTTGTTGCGATGCTTGTAGCGTTGCTGAAGCTGGTCGAGGTGTATAAACTGGCTGTTGCATTGACGTCACTTGTTGCGATGCTCGTAGCGTTGCTGAAGCTGGCCGAGGTGTATAAACTGGCTGTTGCATTGACGTCACTTGTTGCGATGCTCGTAGCGTTGCTGAAGCTGGTCGAGTTGTATAAACTGGCTGTTGCATTGACGTCACTTGTTGCGATGCTCGTGGCGTTGCTGAAGCTGGCCGAGGTGTATAAACTGACTGTTGCGTTGACTCTTGTTGAGATTGTTGTGATGTTTCTGACGCCATCCGAGATGCATAAACTGGCTGTTGCGTTGACTCTTGTTGGGATGCTTGTGGTGTTGCTGACGTTTGCATCCTTTGCCACCTTTTTTACCTGTTCCACTGCTGCTGTCTGATGTCATCAGCGCCGTTATGTTGATGTGGGCTGGACCTTTATCCAGAATCCATTTTATATATTTGGTGATCATGCCACATTTTTCTGCAGCAGCCACCGCATGAGCGCAAATCTTTAACGCTTTCCAATTTGGACAATCTTGGCATGTCACCTTACCATTCTTCGCAATACTTACGTAATGAGGCCTTAGGGACCGGTCATTATTTATGGAAGGGGGGGGAGGGGAATTTTTTCTTTTCTAAATTTTTAAAATTGAAAGCCCCCCCTAAAAGAGCAGAAATTTAATGATGACCCCCCCTGCATATTGGAATATTTTTTTTGACCCCCCTCCCCCTCATTTTCACTTTTACTCGTCAAATGGGGATACCCAGGCGTTTATATAGTGTTATATTATTAAATAAGAATATGGAACTGGCAAGATATTAACGTCGACCAAAAATATATTAGCAGAAAATTATAATTAAAAGAGGAGTATTTTTATATATAACACTAAAATCAGGTTTCCATTTGGTCTGGGCGATTGTAACCATGTTTAAGGTTTAAGGCTGCAACTAGACTTGATAGTATGAAGTATTGCCATAGCAGCTGCGCAGCAACACTGAGAACAACAATCAGTAATATTAGCAGCAAAAGGAGATAGCAATGACAATTCTGCCTAGGCATACCTGCGAAATTCAATGTATAGTAGTGGTCTATACATCCTATTTTATGTGAGATTAAAAATTACATAAAATAAAATGACATATACTAGCTACCAGATAAAATCCTTTAGAATGAACATGGGTGGGTGGGTGGGGAAAAGGTATCGAAGCGCAAAACTTGCTGCAGCTAGGCAAAGCATACAATGGCAGAATGAATACCCAGACCGAAGCACTGATCACAAGGCATGAAACAACTCCCTTTGATCGATATGACGTCACAGACTCCCCTCAGCAGATGTGGCCTGCATAATACATCCGCCGTTAACCTTGCTTAATTTAAATGTATTTAACCACATCAAGGGCTGATGTAATAATACATTGTCAATTTAACTAGTCTGCAAACCGTAAATCTGATTTGCATACAGCACACAGAAGACAAGATGAATCCAGATTATTTCACATCAGTGACCATGATTTAGTTGCAACATTTACAACCAAATGGATACCAGGTTATTAAGCAAATTCCTTCAAATTTAATTGCAACCCCCCCCCCGTCATTTTCTCGAAAAAATTTAATAGTCCCCCCTTCTTGTCATTTATTTCTACATATGGCCCCCCCCCTTACTTTTTCCCTCCCCCCCCCCTTCCATAAATAATGACCGGTCCCTTACGCAGTACTATACATTACACAGCAACTGCTCGAAAAATACTTTATTTTATAGCTATTGATTCAGCTAAATAAGAATATTTGCTTGCGAAGAGAAGCGTTAAAACAAAAGTTGGATCGCTTCCTATTTTTTCGCTTTTGCGTGAGAAAATAGTGTTTATGCGTGTGAGCGTGAGAAATATGTCAAATGCGTGTGTCTCACGCAAAATGCGTGAGAGTTGAAAGGTCTGATATTATCCCTTCATGAAAGGTAATAATTATATAAGTGACTTGATGCTTCCTACGTTTGATGCTTCCTACGCCGCTACGGGCCACAAACATGTATTAGTGTATACATAAAATGCATTTGTGTTAGCACATCACTAGATCAGCCTATGCACTATCCAGTTCGCTACTTTTCACTGAATCAGTGAAGCTTACCGTGGTTGATAGCGCTGTTCAGCGTCGAGGTTTATTTCGATATCATAAGCCATCTCGATATAAGGGACCACATCAGAAATCTCATCAAATGACATATCGCCACCACTACGTAACTGATGTAGAATCTGTTGCATCCATGTAGTGCCGCATTTAGGTGTTGTCACGACGAACACGTCATCTGGTCGAGGTTTAAAACTTAAACCATGCCTTCTTCCTTGCTCTGTTTGTAAGCTAGATAACCTTTGTTTCAGGAACTGCACACCTGGACTTCCGTCTCCAGATATCTCAGAAGACATTCTCAGAAAAGCTACCACAAAACTTAAACGACACCAATGCCAATCCTACTCTGCGTCTCTGCGTTTATCAGTTTGAGTATGCATATAACTACGTGCAGATAAGGATATATTAATGATCTCACAGCCCCGGCTCTGGGCTTCCGGCGCCTATGCATATAACTACATGCAGATAAGGATATATTAATGATCTCACATGATGCTTAACAATGCTGGGGTTAGCATCAGCCGTAATTGTTCGGATTAGGCATGCAGCATTACAGTACCTACTAACTAGTATTGCCCGTTGCCGTTCGGTAGGGATGGAGACGGTAGCACGGCGAAGCGAACGAGCTTGGCGAATGTGAACGAGCTTTTGGCGAAGTGATGAGTAAAGAAACTCGATAAAAGTCCAGTGAGACAGAATACATCAGCCACTAATTCTACGCCTGTCGAAGCTACTCCAACTAATACTATTCTACAATTAGCCGAGCTATCGCAAATACAACACAAGTCACGCCTATGAGTGTTACTAAATTCACGGGTGACCCAAGGGAATATACTCGGTTTATTTCGCGGGTCACTGATCAAATGCTCTCGCTGCCTATACATGACAGCCGAAAGCTCAGTTGGTTAATGCAATACGTTGGTGGCGATGCTAAAGCTAGTTTTCCACTTCAATCGTATCGTACCGAAACATAGCGTATTTCTTTGTTTCCTGAGCGGTAGTGTGGAAGTATTAATGACTTCGCACAAAAGAAAATGCTACGGTACATTACGATACACTTAAAGTGGAAAACAGGCTTAAGGAAGCCATCGAATATTTCGAAGGGATGGGGAGAGGAGCCTTAAAAGATGCTCTGGTCGTTTTGAAGTTGAGATTTGGCCAACCCTAAATGTAATAGTTAATGACGATAGTTCCACTCGGTATAATAATAAACTCATAAACAATTTAATAAGAAACTATAAAATAAACGAGAAATTATGAATGTTAAATGTAAACAATATGAACATCAAGTTCAAGTGCGAATAGACATATATAATATCAACTGACAAACGTGTCAACACTTTTAGGAACCAACTTGTATATTGGTCGCATCAGACATTTGTCCCCAATTTGTACTTGAGCTACGCTGTTGTGTCCTTCCTTGCCTGGAAAGGTACTAAGGATTCTCCCCCAACGGCCACTATCCTCGAAGACGATTTGGCTGCACAATTAACGTCATCGGTTTGCAAATCCTTGACCACTTGTGTCCATTTAGGACGGATAGCAAGCATCGGTAAATACTCCTTCAACCAGCGTCGCCATACCAACGATATTAGATGTTGCACTTTCCTCAACCGTTGCTGTGGATGAAATCCAGTCGTTTCTTCAGCTTCAGGGGCAAACTGAGCACCCATCTGGCCATAAAGGAAATTATTTGAAGTCAGCGGGATTAAGTCAAGAATATTGGCAGACTGATAAGTTAACGATCTGGAATTTAAAAGACTCTCAGCTCCGGTAAAGATGGTGATCAATTCCTCATCATTGACATCACTGTTGCTTAGTACTGCGTATATCACTTTCTTTGCAGCCTTTGCATTATTTCGTGAGCTTCCCCGAAGTGTGGGGCGTCAGGCGGGTTGAACAACCATCGAACTCTCTTATCCGAAGTTTTCCGTTTGATTTTCTCTTCGTCTAACTGACCAGCAAACTCCTTCAGTTCGTTTACCGCTCCAACGAAGTTAGTACTATTGTCACTTACAACCTCCTTGGGTACTCCTCTCCTGCTGGTAAATCGAGCGAATGCATTAAGGAATGCATCTGTGTCCAATGACCATGCCATCTCCAGGTGTACAGCTCTGACTGATAGACATGTGAACACGCATAGATACCGCTTCTGTCTTTTTCGACCACGGCCCTGAATGGTGATAAACGGACCACCAAAATCTATTGCGCATTGATCAAACGCCCGATAGGTGAATCGCAATCTCACACCTGGAAGCAGGGCCATCACCTGGCTGGCTTGTTCCGTCTCCTTCTGCAACCGTAGCACTGGTTCTCCCACTCTCGAATTTCGTCACGTGCCGCAATGATCCAAAATCTTTCACTCAGTTGACTGAGAATGAAATTTATCCCAGTTGCATGGTTCGCTTTCTCGTGGTAATGTTGTACTATCAATCTTGTAACCCAATGTCCTCGTGGCAGGATAATTGGACTTCGCACGTCATACGGTAGTCGCTCTGCGAAACTGAGACGCCCTTGTGATCGAATAACTTCATCTGCATCAATTACAAGATGACTTTCTGACTCTTCGCAGAAACAGGTCCTTTCTTGATTTCACTGTACTCGGCACCAAAAACGTCACTCTGAGCAGCGCGAATGACTTTCATTTCAGCTTCCCTGAGTTCTTCTGAAGTCAGTTCCTTTTCAGTTCATCTTTGGCCCTTATGACGCATGTTGAACAGCGCTCTTCGAACTCTGGCTTATAACCTTGTCAACCGCGACCAATCGGAAAAGCGTCTCGGATCCAATCTCCATTCGTTCTGCTCCTGTTCGGAACCTTTTCTGCACATGTTGCTAATGTGATGTTTCTGACGCTTTTGGCATGAGTCGATCTGATCTCTGGTGGGTTCTTGGGGCGGTTTTCTGTCTTCATCTTTGGCCACTGGTCACGACCTTTCGTCAGCCAATCTGGGCCTTCCCACCAAAACGAACTCTCAGCAAGCTGCGTTGGACTTGCGCCTCTCGTACATAAGTCGGCTGGATTCTGATCTGTACGTACATGCTGCCACTGGGCTGGATCCGAACCACTCTGAATTTCACCAATCCTGTTCGCCACAAAGGCTCGGAAATCTTTGCCTTTTCCACGAATCCACCACAGTACATCTATGCTATCTGAATAAAACGACACATCTCGCATTGTTAATGCCCAAGACTTGGACGATTGATTGAGTTAACCGCAATCCCATGATAGCTGCCATCAGCTCCAATCTGGGAACCGTTGTTGGGGTAAGAGGTGCCACCTTAGACTTTGACGCTACCAGGCGACAGGTAACGGCTCCATTCTCGTACTCATGTCGGATATGCACCACAGCACCATACGCATCTTTTGAGGCGTCTACGAACGTAATAATTTCCTTCGAACGAACTGGATCTGCAGCACGAAGACATCTAGATACCGTCACCGTGTTCAGCATAGGCAACTGATCTCAAAGCAATTTTAAACATTTTTCTTGCTCTCAAAGCAATTTCATCTTTAATCTCGTCGTCCCATCTAATCCTCTAGACCACAGTTCCTGCAATAATATTTGGCAATGACGATAAATGTACTAATGAATCCAAGTGGATCAAATATCGTTGCGATTTTCTTTAAGACGTTTCTTTTGGTTATTTGTAATCGTGGCATTTTTTATGTCGGAATCGTGAATTCATCTTTCTGACTGTTCCAAGCAAGTCCGAGTGTTTTCGTTGTGGGGTTTTCACCGTCGTTTATGGTGATCTCGGAGTCTTCTTCTGGGATCACTTCTAATACTTTAGGCGAGTTGGATACCCACTTTCTGGCTTCCATACTTGCTTTTGCCCAAAGTTCTTTGAGCTCGTGATACAACTTCACACCCTCTTCTTCACTTTCTACACTGTCAATAGAGTCATCATCCATGTAGGTGGATTTCGATTCACTACTGTCTCTGCGGCCAATGAGTAAAGATCCCTATACCTTCGAACGTTCTCCTGGGCGACAAACTGTGCCTCCATGGGCGTGGATTTCTTACCAAAAACAACACTGCTGAACTCGTATTCCTCCGGTTCACGTCCAGGATCAAGATCTCTCCAGAGCATTCTGAAGTATGGGCGGTCTTCCATAGGAATTTCTATCTGAAGGTACATTCCTTTAATGTCACAAGCAACAGCAACAGAGTTACGACGGAATCTCATCAGGAGATTGAACAGATCTTGCTGCAGTTTTGGGCCAGCATGGATAACATTGTTCAGAGAAATCCCATTATGTTTAGCTGAGCAATCAAAAACTATGCGAACTTTGGTTGTAGACTTATCCATTCTAACGATGGGAAAATGAGGCAGGTACCAAGCTCCAGGCAGTTATCTGGCTGGATAAATCTTTCGGAGGTAGCCTTTCTTCAAGTATGCTTCGATAGTGCTTTAGTACTCTTCACCAAGGTCGGATTCTTCATTAGATTTTTCTCAGTAGAACGCAGGCGTGTGACAGCCATAGTCCCGTTGTTTGGCAACTGTGGTTATGCTTTCTTCCACGGTGTTCCGACTTGATATCCTCCATCAACAATCTGCAACGACTCTCCAACTTTACTAAGGGCTGACTTTTCCTCTTGTGTTAGTATCTTTGTATTCACCTCGGTTCCTCCACGTTCAATCTCCCAAAAATTTCTTAATGTTTTGTCCAGGTTACGGCAGTCGGGATTGGCGAAGATTGTTGCCTGTTCCGTGCAAAGTGTTCTCATCACATGTGATCTCACGATTGATTTTCCATTCTTCTCTGGGAGTCCTATACAGGTCCATCCGAGTTGTCCCCGTCGTGCCACTGGTTCTCCTTGCGATCCTTGAAAATCAACTACGGAAAAGCGTAACTCTGGATTATCCACTCCAATCAACAGGTGAACGAACGTCTTTTTCGCTGGCGTTGGGAAGTTGCACGGACGTAAGTGTGGCCAATCCTTCTGGTATTGGTTCCAATCTACTACACGGTAGTTCCCAGTAACTAGTACTTCATGTGGGCAAATTATAACATTAATTTATCTCAAAAACTGACGATCTGTACTCTCAATCTCGACTTTCAAAGGTATGGATTTAAAGGTCTCCACTGCATCATTCAACATATGGACTTGCACATCTTGCCATTTACCGCTTAATCCAAGAAATCTGGCGACTTCTTCGTTTAGGAAGGTTTCGTTCGAAGCATCATCAAATACTGCATTTACCTTAATTCTCTTTCCATTTGCTTTTATCCACGCAGGGATTGTTCTCAAAGAATGCATCTGGTTAGATTCCCGGTTGTCGTGGTAACCACTCTCGCTTGATCCGTTACCCCCTCCCGTGGGGATTTAAACTCGACCTTCTCCTCTGGAAGGTTTGGTTTGTTGTTTTTGTGTTCCGGGTCATGAAGCAATCGATGATGTGTAAATTGACACCCACCTATTTTGCACTGGCGTGACCTTCGACAATCTTTACCATGGTGGTCAGTGGCAAGGCACCGAAAACATAACTGTTTCTCTTTAGCAGTTTTCCAGCGATCTAAGACTGGTCTTTGTTGAAACTGGTGGTAACTTCAAATACCATGCCCAGTACGACCACAAAATGCACAAGGCGGCTTTGCATCCGCTGCGTTTCCCAACATATTTAGTTGGTATGACTCATAGCCTCCCTGCTTTCCAGTACGGTATGACCGAAATCTTGGCTATTCACCCTTGTTCTGGTATTCCTTTGGCTAAGCATATTTCTGCTCCAAACCATACGCCATTTCTGCGACTTCCACTTTAATAGTCACCTCTTCCTTCAACCAGTCACACAAACCTATAACAGACTGTTCCTTGCTGTGAGTGCTTAACCATCGACTATAACTTTCCAACTGTCGATCCGATAATTTCTTCACAAGCTGTCGATGCAAAGTTCCTTCTCCTAGCTCTGATTCTCGATTCTCAGCTTTCAATTTCGCAACTGTTACCCCAACTAGGTCAGCAAACTTTTCAAAGGCATTAACATCATTGTTACGCATAGTCGGCATATTCTCCAATTCATCCATGTACTCTCAATTGTCGTCGCTGCCCACCAAATTTCGACCGAATTATTCTTTCGCTTCATCATACTCGGGTGCTGATACTCCTAAACCACGAATCGCTTCCAAAGCTCGACCAAATAAACTCTGTCGCAATCTTGCCATCTTTAGATGCACTGGCTCGTTCGATTTGTCAACTAAACTTTCAAATAGGCTCCAAAATTCTTCAAACTTTGCTTTATTTCCATTGTAATCAGGTACTCTCATAGGTTTTAAATGGCGGTTTAGAACTGAACCTCCCATGTACAATGGTGTATGGGTTGAACTTGATGAACTCGATTGATTCTGCTCCATTGTTTGCTGTATCATACTAGTTCCTATTGCGCCTTGATCGATTGCGCCTTGCATTGCTTATTGCTCAGTGTTACTGGTCACAGCGGGTTGTGCCTGTCTTTTGTTAATCAAATTACTCGCAGTAGAACTGGTAACATTAGTTACCTCGTCATTATCATTGTCTTGACTGACCGTAGCATTGCTTTCAAAATATCCTGAGATCAGAACAGCCTGTGCCTTTTCGATCGCTTGTTGACATTCCAGTTCTAGTTCGTTTGATTCCTTCATTAACGCCTTTTGATTTTCACCGCCCTTTTCCCCCAAGTAATAAACAGACAATTCATCCATAATATCCTGTGTCTGTTCTAGTAACGAGTGACGACCACAAACACTCTACTCTATGCTCAATCTCTTCTTTGTTTAATGTGGCTTTTGACACACCAAATGATTTTTCAAGTTTGAAAAGTTGATGTCTTACTTTTGTTGTATTCCGTTTACTTGCACGTTTGCGACGACCTAATTCCAGGGAAATATGAAGGCTTTTCATACCCTCATCAACAGAGGATTGCTCCACACTGCTTTGAATCGGCTCTGACTCGTCCCCCGACATTGTTAATAGTCACAGAATTTGAAATATTAGCAAAGTTATTGTTATAACAAACGACCAGATTATTTTATTTTCAACGATACTCCTCTAATGTATGTCTTTCGAAAATTCCTATTTACCAATGTTATTATGTAGAAAATTTGGCATAAATCACGCCCAAAGCATCAAACCTGAATATATTGCATAAATGAGCATATATTATGCAATACGATCCCAAACATATTTTAATACAATCGCCTGAAAATTCACATTTTTACGACAAATATTCGAAGTTTATAGCATTCCAGTTTCTTTTACTTAGCTTCTGCCACAAATAGTCGATAATACCAACAAAGACACGAACGTTCAAGCGATAGATAGACGATAACCCACAATAATAACACCAAAACTGTCATGACGAAATATTCGCACGCAAATTCCGACGAAGTATACACGTAAATTAGACGCCAAATCATTTGATTCGTCCTGGCAGGATCGCCAAATGTTTAGTAGACGATAGCTCCACTTGGTATAATAATAAACCCATAAACAATTTAGTTGAAACTATAAAATAATAGTTGAAACTATAAAATAAACGAGAAAATAAGTTAAATAGCACTTTTGTCCTTCGATCTAAAACCTTTTACGATATGTTTTTGAACCCTCGAACACGCTCTCGTCCCAGTACTTTTGCTCGTCCAAAACACTAATTATATTTAATTATGAATGTTAAATGTAAACATAGTAAAAGTTGTCCACTCTCCTAAACACTCCATGATTGTAGATGCGTGTATCGGAGAGATTGTAGACGGGATCTCCCGTGATGGTCGAAGCATACAAAAATTGGCAGATAGATGTCAAATGGTATAATAGACACTGAACACTATGAAGTGCTTACATGAGATTAACACCGACCATATGAGAAAGATAGTTAATTGCACGTCTACCGTTTCATAACAAAGCGAGGTTGAGAGATCGAGTTAGCAATTAAGATCTTAAAGTCGAGTCATTCGTGACCTACGTTTGGCGATTTAGTGGAATTCCTCCAAGAAAGAGCCAGCTCAGAAAATAACCCGTTGTGTAGGAAGCTGCCAGGAAATTCCAAGAAGGACGATACAAAAATTAAAGGGAAAAGGAACCTCGACAAACCTGATGGAACAAGAATATCAAGCTTTGCCATCCAGTTTGATTCAGCGCCCTCAAACCAACGATATAACGATCATGAAGATCACCGAGCTGCTCCCGCTGCCATAATAAACATTATCTGTCCTCGTGCACAAAGTTCTTACATGAAACTCCTGCATGAGAACAGAAGAAAATTTGTTGTTGATATTTGGTTTTGAGTCCGCAGTCGGGAGTCCTAGCGGGCGCGCATGCGTAAGTTGTTGTTCTTAAAAAGCATGGCGTGAAGGCCACCTTTTAGTATTAAACTAGAACTTAATTGAGCTTAATACAGACTTGTAGTCTTTTTTAACATGGTGGCAGCGATGTATTCTTAAAGATCCTTAGTATTTTGTGAGTATCTATATTTATTTAAATGGAAATGGCGCAATTTCATCTACCTTCATCGCTCGATCTGCCAGACCGTAATCTGGCAGATAGCTTTAAGAAATGGAAACGTCAGTTACAAGTTTATATGGAAGCTAGTGGGAATAATAACAAGCCGAAGCAGCGACAATCGGCTATTACACTGTGCAAAGTGCTCGAAAAAGTAGAGGAATATTGCAATCCACGACAAAATGAAGTTCTTCAATCCTTTCGCTTTTGGCAAGTACCTTTCCAAGAACCTTTTGACACATTCCTAACAAAGTTGTACTCTTACGCTGATTCATGCAATTTCAAGGAAAAAGAAAGAATGATACGAGACAAGATAGTCTTCACTGTAACCGGTAAGCAACAAGAACTGTTATTATGAGAGACTAGTTTAGACTCAAAGAAAGCTGTAGAAATATGCAGAGCCTATGAGATTTTCGGCAAATTGTCCGTTCGGCAAAATGTCCATTCGGCAAAATGTCCATTCGGCAAAATGTCCGTTCGGCAAAACGTCCGTTCGGCAAAACGTCCGTTCGGCAAAACGTCCGTCGGCAAAATGTCCGTTCGGCAAAATGTCTTTCGGCAAAATGTCTTTCGGCAAAATGTCTTTCGGCAAAGTGTCTTTCGGCAAAATGTCCGGCCACCAAAAGTTTGTAGGACCAACACAGGTGGAACCCACCACACAGAAATTAATCATGTGAAACAAGTCCAAGGTCAACCCATTGGGAGAAACTACCCTGAAGATCAAAAACCCAAAGAATGAAGAAGAAACCGTGGTCGATTTTATTGTTGTCCCAAACGATTATAGCTGTCTTCTAGGACTGTCAACTATACAACAAATGGGACTACTTACAATCAATGATGGCAACTTCATAGCCCATATAAGCACTGACGCTAATCAGTTAGCATCGTTGGGAGAAACACAACTACATGTTGATCCAAATGTCCCACAATGAGCACTTCCATGTAGGAAACTGCCACTAGCATTGCAAAAGAATGTTAAGGAGGAACTTCACCACTTAGTTGAAGCTGGCGTACTGGTACCAGTGGAAGAACCAACTGCTTGGGTAAGCTAAATGGCAGTTGTAAAGAAACCAAACGGATCTTTGAGAATCTGTATTGACCCACAACCATTAAATGCAGCCCTGCAAAGAGAGCATTACAAGCTACCAACACTAGACGATGTTCTACCTAGTCTCATCCAAGCACGAGTATTTAGCAAACTCGACGTGAAACAAGCCTACTGGCATGTCCAACTGGACAATGAATCTAGCTTACTCATCACCATGATTACACCATTTGGACGATACACGGACACAGATGGGCCCGGCTCCCATTTGGGCTCAAGGTCAGCAGCGAGATATTTCAAAGAAAGCTCAATGAGGTACTTGTTGGTCTCAATGGTGTGATATGCATTGCAGATGATTTGGTTGTGTATGGGAGTGGCAACACGAGAGAAAAAGCTGATGCTGATCATGAGCAGAACCTCCTGGCACTGCAGGAAAGATGCGCAGAGAAGAGAGTCAAGCTGAATGATGAGAAAGTTTATGGGCCATCTTATCACCAATGAAGGAGTAAAAGCAGACAAGTCAAAGGTAGAGGCTATCCTTGACATGCCGGCCTCCACAGATGTACATGGAGTGAAGCGGCTATGTGGAATGATTAAGTATCTGGCTAAGTTTCTTCCCAACCTAGCTGGTGATTTGCAACCCATTCGAGAGCTGACCAAGAAGGATGTGGAGTGGAACTGGTCAACAGAGTGTCAAGAAGCATTCCAGAAGGTCAAGGAAAAGATCACAAACACTCCTTTGCCCGCATACTTTGATTCCAACAAGGAGCTACTATTGCAATAGACAGCAGTAAATACGGACTCGGAGCAGCACTGATGCAAGATGGCAAACCACAGTTATTTTAATAGATGGTTTGGAGACTCGACGAAAGTACAATATAACTCATTAACTATGTTATTGTCCAGCTTTATGTAAGAATGTGATCCTATCTCGTCACGTGTGTATTGTATTTTCGCTCAAATAACCAATAACAAGTTTGTGGTTGTGTTATCCATCCGTAACTTGAACAAATGCTCAATTTAAACATTGTTGTTATTGGTTGTGCCGGAAAAATCCAATACACACGTGACGAAATTCTTGCATAAACCGAAACCAACATAGTTAATGAGTTATATTGTACTTTCATCGAGTCTCCAAACCATGTATTCTATTAACTGTGGGCAAACCAATTGAATACGCCTCAAGAGCACTGACTCCTGCTGAACGGAATTGGGCACAAATTGAAAAAGAAACCCTAGCTGTGGTGTTCGGTCTTGAACGATTTGACCAGTATACGTATGGCAGAAAAGTCATAGTACAGAATGACCACAAGCCTCTGACCTCAATCCTGAAGAAACCTTTGAGCCAGACCCCAAAACGACTACAAGCACTGATGCTACAAGTTCATCGCTATGACATTGAATTTCACTACATTCAAGGAAGTCAAGAGCTTTTCTTGATGTTCCTGACGCACAGGTGAGAGTCATGGAAGTAAACGCTTTGAAAGGAGCGCCAGATGAGCGAATCCGGGAGGTACAAGCGGCTACCACACAGGACCAATGTATGCAGTCCCTGTTGAGCACTATAAAAGATGGTTGGCCAGAAAGCAAGAAGGATGTACAAAATGATCTGAAGCCATATTTTGATGTGCGAGACACATTGAGCCATCAAAATGGAATTATTCTAAAGGGAGAAAGAATAGTTATCCCAGCATCACTCCGTGACACCACAAAGAAACGATTGCACTCTGCATATTTGGGATACGATAGTATGATGAGACGAGCTCGAGACACCATATTTTGGCCCGGAATTGCAACAGAAGTACGACAGCTAGCAGAGAACTGTGAGGCTTGCCAGCAATACAAACCACAAAACCAGAAAGAGCCATTAAAAGAGTACGAGGAAGGACAAGTACCTTGGAATAAGGTTGGAATTGACCTTTTCGAGATCAAGGGAAGAGATTATCTAGCCACGGTTGACTGTTTCTCGTGTTTCATAGAAGTTGACCACCTAAGCACTGCCACAAGTAAACAGATAATCATCAAACTCAAAGGACATTTTGCAAGATATAGCATACCAAGTGAAATGGTAACTGACTGTGGTTCACAATTTATTTCTTCCGAGTTCAAGACCTTCACCAAACACTGCGGAATTAAGCATGTAACATCGTCACCCCTCCATCACCAATCGAATGGAAAAGCGGAAACTGTGGTTAAAACTATAAAGCTAATGATGAAGAAGTCACTGCGGGACAACACTGATCAATATGAGGCTTTACTCGAACTGAGAAACACGCCACGCTACGCCAGGGTACTGGACAAAGCCCAGCTAAAATGATGTTTGGTCGAGCAACACAATCATTCCTACCAGCCAGTTCGAACACAAAACCAGAACGGGCGAGAAATGCAACACAGAAGAGAGCCAGACACCGCCTTCTGTTTAAGCAAAGACCTATGACTTTTTGTAAAAATAGGGAGATGTTGATATTTGGTTTTGAGCCCGCACTCGGGAGTCCTAGCGGGCGCGCATGCGTAAGTTGTTGTTCTTAAAAAGCATGGCGTGAAGGCCACCTTTTCGTATTAAACTAGAACTTAATTGAGCTTAATACAGACTTGTAGTCTTTTTTAACATCTGTGCTGCAATCCAAATTATGCATTCAATGTCTATACCCTGGACATTATGAAAGATACTGCAAAGGTATTAAGTGCGAAGCTCATGGTTGTAATAGAAGACATCATAGTCTGCTGCACTTGAACAATGTGCAATACCCAACATTGGAAATCGCGAAAAGATCAAACCAAGTAGTGCCTTGTGATGCAAGTGTACAAACGAATGCAGCTAACGTTAGCCCAATCGTCTACAAGACCACGACAGCGTCAGTGCCAGTCGTAGCAGTCGTCGTATGCGGTAAAGACGGCAAGAAGAAATCGACATATGCATTATTAGATCAGGCAAGTGAAGCGTCGTTCATCCATAGCAATTTAGCGCAACATCTGAATAACTGGTACGAAAGGTATACTCTCAGTGAAATCTTTAACTGGCTGTAAATCAAGGCACGTGGAGAGAGTATCTCTTAATGTAGAGTCAGCTAGTCATTCTTGTGGAGGATCAAAGATGTAGTGTAAAGATGTCATCATTACCGATACGCTAGACGCTGGATGTCCAACTCAAGGTTGTTCCGAAACAAGAAAACATTACTGACTGGAAGCACTTATCGGACGTTGAATTTCCTGACATCGATTGCAACGGTATCGAGCTGCTAATCGGGGCTGATAATCCAGCAGATTCACCGATGAGATCAGACTTCTTCTGAAAGGGGGATTCCGGTTGACTAAATTTTCAAGCACAAGTAAAGATGTACTCGCTACTCTGCCAGCATCAGAACGAGCGAGCTCGTCAATGAATCTAGACTTAGATAAGTTACCGACAGAGAGAGATCTCGGAATACAGTGGAAAGTTCATGACGACGTGTTTCAATTTAATGTCACTAACGTAGAAACGAAACGAAACGAGGTATGTAGGGTTCATCGCCCTTGTGACATTGCTTGGTAAAATACAGCTACAAACATTGTGGCAATTGAAAATGACCTGGGATCAACAACTTCTTGATGAAGAGCTGTAAAAATATGGCGAAAATGGAAAAACGCACTTTCGCTTTTGTCTAACGTTAACGATATGATACAATTCGAACAGATAAAGTGAAAAGAAGACAAAGTGCCAAAAGATATCGGATGCGAGTGAGAAGGGATACGGTCGTGCCTCTTATTTCCGAAGCGAATTCAAGGATGGATCAATTGCTTGTACTCTGGCCTTTGGCAAAGCTCGTGCCGCACCTCTACGGAAAATTCCCATTCCTCTTTAGAACTACAAGCCGAAGTTTTGGCAGTACGTATAAGTGAGATGATTCAACGCGAAGTTCAGATTAACTTTAGTAAGATCATTTCTGATTGGACAGACTCGGAAGTGGTGTTGAAGACTTGAAGTATATCATGAATGAAAATAAACGCTTCACCGTTTTCGTTGGTAATCGGATAGCAGAGATTAGAAAAAGTCAGTATTCAGACGGAAAAGTGATCTCAGAGAAACATATTTCAAACTTTTTGTGAGGGAGTTTGCCCTCACACCCTTCTTCTAGAAGGTACCATTCTTCTAGAAGGTTCCCATCTTCGGCGCTCGTTCGATAAAATCGACAGCCAGCCTGTTACTAAAACTTGTAATCGGATAGCAGAGATTAGAAAAAGTCAGAATTGGATCAATGGAGGTACTGCCCCGGTGAAAAAAACCCAAGTGATGATGCTTCACACATCTCCCTTGCAGTTGACTACGGATTGCCGATGACTGAATGGACCCTCGTTTCTGAAAGGAGCAGAATCGGCTTGGCCTAATACGTCGCTGGGAAATTTAGAGGATGATGAGTATTCGAGCGAGGACGACATTCAAAGTAGCATATGATATGCATGGTTATCGGAATTGATATTCTTATCCTACATCAACTACGTTAAAGGTATTCCACTCGGAGTCTGCGAAAGAGAAAGTTGTATGGCTAACAAGATTCAACTTATATCTACAGTATTTCTTTTTTTTTTCTGTGTTGGTGCAATGTACTCAGGTGAATATGATGCTTGTGATGTTACGTCGTAACTCTTCGCTCTATTTCTGCCCTCGAGTAAGATCGGGTTCTGAAGAATTAAGAAATGCGGAGAACGATATTCTACGATTAGTACAGCGGCGCACGTTTACGCAGACAAATATCAGCATCTCAGCGAAAGTAATAAATGTGTGAAATCGTCCAGCAACATCGCTAAACTTTGCCTATTCATTGGTGAAGAAAGTCTCATAAGAGTAGAAAGCAGACTGGAAGACGCACCTCTTAGCTACCATGCAAAATTTCCTTGTATCATTCCAAAGCAGCATTGAATAGCGGAATTGATTGCGCGTGATGTTCATTACAATAACACTCATAGCGGTGAAGGGGATACACTGAATTTACTACGACAAAGAGTGTGGATTTGCCATGCTCGGTCTTTGGTGAGAAAAATCATCAACAAGTGTTTTGTTTGTCGAAAGGGGAATGCTCCGACTCTCAGTGAGAAAATGTCACCTTTACCATCATGTCGATTAATGGCGTACGAACCCCCGTTTTCGTACGTTGGAGCAGATTTGTTTGGTCCATTGTTTGTAAAACAAGGTCGATAAACCCGAAGAGGCGGGGATGTATATTTACATATATGAGTACCAGAGCGATACACTTGGAAGTAGCACCCTCATTGGAAACGGACTATTTTATTAATGTTCTTCGACTATTTGTTGCAACAAATTTGCAACAAATTTTCGTGGAGCGGACTATGAGTTGAAGAAGACCATTGCTAATTGAAGTGACAATTAACTGACCGATAAATTATCTCAGAGGGGGATAAAATGGATTTTTCATCTTCCATATGTCCCTCATTTGTTGGTGTATGGGAAAGATTAATCAAAGATGTTAAACGTTCGTTGAAAGCGATCTTGCGAGGATCATTACCAACTGATCATGTCTTATAAGTAAGAGATTAGTTATTAGACGATTTTCTACAAACAGGGACCGCGGAGCCATTTTTGTATTAGGCGGGCTTGTGTTCTGGGACCTCCAGAGCCCCGGAAATGCAATCAAATTTACCAGTTGCCGTTAAAAAGTTTATTAATTTCCAATCATTTGTTTAGTCTAACCAGAAATAAATTGATTGCTTGACTATTGTTAACTGCATGATCTGAAAGATTTCAGTATTCTTAGTTTATAAAAATCACATATGTATGGAAAATTATTGAGTGGGGGCTAAAGCCGCCCTGCTCTGCGGTCCCTGAATTAAAGCTCTCCATTGTCTGTAGGGCTATTTGTAGGAGAGAAAATAAGTAGCAAAAAATCTCGTATAAATGATCAACTTCTGTTAAGCCGCGACTTATTTTGGACTAGCATGAATCCCTGTTCTTATCTTAGTCACGACTTACTTTGGTCACGAACAATGCGTCTTAATTAAGCTACGACATATTTTCTGCTGTATAAATGACCCATATGATTTAAATGTGCAAGATATTGTGTCTCCTTTGTCACTCATGGACGAACACGTCTTTGTAGTAGGCTAATTTCACTTTTGTTTCAAAAACACCATTTTGTAAAACAAGTACTTTTGCCGTTTGCCGTTTGGCTTCATATTTTATCGAATTGTAAAGATATGGAACTCTGTATGTATAAAGTTGCCCCATGTAGTAGCTTCACTAGTGTAACCTCTTACAAAACGTTCCTGATCAAGCATGTACTTTTCAGTACTAACTGTTTTTTATGTAAAGGTTGGTTTCTTAACAGTACCCATGTGGATCTCCCCGACTACTAAGACTTGAAATATAGCGTGGATATTATACTGTGTTCAAAATAGTTCATATTTTCAACCAATATCGTAAAGTTTGTCATTGAGACATAATTAAAATGTGCCATTAAATGACTTCAGTATTCAGACGGAAAAGTGATCTCAGAGAATCATATTTCAAACTTTTTCTGAGGGAGTGTGCCCTCGTACCCTTCTTCTAGAAGGCTCTCACCTTCGGCGCTCGTTCGATAAAATCGACAGACAGCGGCCTGTTACTAAAACTTGGCATCTCCTTAATGGCACTGAGACGCTATACGGTTTCATAAAAACTTGTCTACGGATAAAGATATTATTTCCACGATTGTTGATCCACTTGACGTTACCTTGGAAACACCATCACGCCAAGGATTTTTTTTCACCGTCACTATATGCTGATTTGAAAACCTTTTAACGATCGCGTGTACACTCTACAGCGTGGTAAAAGATTCTGTATATAAAAATTTGCATGGCTGCTGCAAGTGAGGACGGCGATAGCAGTAACTGTTGTTTCCCGGTCACAATATTTTGTGGTGATCATGATGTTGAAGTGAATATTCCTTGTGAAGCCACAGCACACGAAGTGAGTGCAATTATTAAAGGAACGTTCGGCGTACGTGGATCATTCCTATTGCAGATTAAAAATTATGATGACAGAAAAGCGTTGAGATCTACGGAACCTCTGAAAAGTCTTTACCTACATTGTTCCTCCACTAAGGCAGCTGTGTTGGAAAGATACAAAGATTTTATTTGGGAAGTCCGAGGCTCAAGCTGTAAGTATATATTGAGTAGTATTGTTTTGATCAATGACAGTAACCCATTCATGTTTATAAGGATGGTAGCCCTTAGAACTGCCCTTGCATGTTCTCAATGCAATGCATGGCAGCATTTGAGTGAGGTGGAAACGAAAATTAATAGACAGCTTGTTCAAGCAAGAATTGAATATTTGAGTTCGGAGTCTGAAATATCATGTGAATATAACGGTTTTATATATGGCTGAATGGAATAAAGAATGATGAATACCCAAAAATGAATGAATAACTAAAGTAATTAAGTCGATGAGTTTGGAAACATTTTTAATGAATATCAATATGGTCAATATAACTGTTATAAATTCTGCTTCATCCTCTGAAAACGACTCTGACTCCGTTCCTCCTTTAGCTGTTTTAAACGAGCATATCGTCAATAAAGTATGAGAATAAAAACGTGTTTTATATTATCGACATTTATAGCGCGAGTCTTATCATGCAGATATGACTTGATAAAACTAGTTCATTAATAATTCTAAGGCCAGTAATTGTGTGTATAGTCATTCAATTGATTCAAACTACAGCTAATCCCCGGTCAATTGCCGTCTTCATTTCACTGATGAACAACAACGCCTATTCTTTGAAAAAGTCGTTTACTTAAGCCCGCCTCTATTATTGCATGGAAAAGGCGCTTTTTGGACTGGAGTTATTGATAACATACAGCTTATAGTGGATTAACTATTGTGTAAATATTGACTCGGTAACATGTACTTTGTTTAATTAAATCAGTTTTCATGTTTTATAACCAATTTGTTATGGAGTTATGGGTACCAGGCTGACACTTCGCGAGGCGCCGTTTCAGTCAAAAAATATGGTCAGGGGCCTCAGGGCTGCTAGCTATATATATATACACTAAACTTTAAGACTAGAATGCGCATGTACAAATAGATTTATTTAATAGTATAAATAAAGCCTCTTTAATATGATATCAATAATATGTCTCTATTATAGACTTTAATATATCTTTAATACATAAATATTATGTTCCTTTTAACTGTGAAAATTTACCTGTAATTTGTATATAATGCTGGCATTTCTGTTTACGCATATTACAAATTCGCGCAATATACTGTGCCATACCGCGGGGATTAGTTTATTTGAATACATCTTAAATTGACATTTAAACTGACAATTATTAGGTCATCGTCTCTTTCGAATGTGCATAACGTAGTAGCTGATAAACTGCTGTAATATATTGTGTTTGCAGATCAACGAGGAGGTGATGCACTCTGGTATTACCAAAGCCAAAAACTCAGGCCTGAAGATTGGAAAAAGATAGTAGAAAATAGATCGAAACCACTTGATTTTCCTCCTTAAATGTGCATTTCGTGTGAATGAAGGAAGAGGATTATTGTCGCATGCAAGTCGCATGCATGTATTGGCAATGGCATTTGTGGCGTTAGAACTCCGGAAAATTATATTAGTGGCCAATTACATGGTGCGGGTTGACGACCAATCGAGTTGGCCCAGTGCATTTTTTAAGAATTTTTCAGTGGTGGGCAAAACTGCCAAAGGGACCATTTTCCTTGCCCTCCCCCCATGACAGTATGCGATCGTCGAAGGTGTGACGTGAGGCGAGTGCCGCAGGCACAAGTAGTTAGCTAGGGAAAATGGGACATTTCCCCCACAGGAAATGTTTAAAATTTGGGTCTCTGAAATAGCATTTCCTGCATTCTGCATGAGAACACATGTAAGCATTACTAAATGTAAGCATTCAAACACAACATAAGTTTAAGTATGCAAACCAACCAATTTGGTTTTTTAAACTTCTTTTCAATATTAAACTCATTTACTCCATACAGGTCCTAGGGCCCTGACTTTGGGGCAATAAGCCATTTTTTTTCTTCAGTGGTGGGGCAGAGGAAGTGGGGCAAATGACCCACCAGTCCATGGTATTAAAAAATGCCTTGAGTTGGCCCGTTTAACCGAATGGCCCACTTTGCACATTTATTGTTGATTGTTTCAAAATTTGACTACATGAGAACCGCGGACTGACCCGCCTTGCTGAACCGCGGTTGGTTGCATGCCGAGCCAATTCATTAGACTAAACAACACATTCTAATTCTATACGAGGAAGGCGCTCTAAAATACCATGTATAAACCATGCATCTTTAATCAAAACCTTGCAACAATTATCAGTCAACTTTTGTGCACCTAATTCCTAAATGAGTTTAGCACTTGCAAGTCAAGTCAACTCGCTTAGCACTTCAAGTCAAGTCAACTCGCTTAGCACTTGCAAGTCAAGTCAAGTCAACAAGTCAAGTCAACTCGCTCCATGTAATTGGCTTCGTGATCATATGGAAACGCATTGTTTTAGGCGTTCCTATCCGTTATACGGCCTGCACAGTCTGCAGCCACAATGTCATTTTCAGTTAATTAAAACGGAAAACTGCACAGTCATGAATTAATCATCGCTTCGTAGCTTTTTTACTTAGAAATTAGTTTTCTTTACCTTACATACGAGAAGAAACATTTATTTTCGAATTAAAGGGTTCATTTTGCGACGATTTGTTGTACGCGTAATTATCATGACAGGCTATATTTTTGACAAATATTTTATCAAAGACACGGGCGGAAAAAAATTAGGGGGGAAGAAATTTTCCTGACGTTGATGGAATTTTTCCGACATTATCATGGTTTAAAGAAACATGCACACTCTCCTATTCAGACGCAATTAATACAAGCAATTGTCCGATTTTTAAATAGAATCTGGGGGTTGCGGCCGTCAGCCGTTCCCTCTCGCGCGCCTATGACAGTTCGGTATAAATCTGTTATCGGATAATCAGAGTACCGAAGCGAAAAACCATTTAATAAACAATACGAATGAATCCTGAGTGATGGCGTTAGTTTTGACTGGAAGCTTCGATAGCAATATTGCAGATTTAATCTAGCGTTCCTTGCGGTAGTCAGCAACTATAAACTCAACGGCTTAATTGTCCAACAGGAAAGTAAACCGCTACACAAACTTATGTTTTCGTCGGCGTAGACATATTGTCGGTGGTTAAACATATTTCATTTGAAAAACGCAAAGTGGTCAGGCAATTTTCCAGCTTGATTTTATTTTATTAAAACCTAGTTCACACGGTTTTTCCTTCTCCTGGCGGATGTGATTGAATGAGTGACATTCAAGAATTAGAGGAAATTATCGACATAAAAATAAGAACGGCAACATAAAAAAAGAACAAAACAAACTTGAATAAAAATCCAAGAGAAATAAAGTTGATGGGTTTTGTGTTAACCTATGTCAATGGAATTCTATACTACGCTTTGCTGCTGCTTCCACATTTAAGGACATGGCGCTTTCAAGATAGAATACAGCAGGGTGCTCTTATCGCGCAGACAGTCTTGTGCGCGGTCAACGAAGCGCGTCGAGTTTTTGGTACGAGAATGTGCACGGTGCACCATTTACGTACATCAGATCCAGTGAGCTCCAGAAAGTGAAGCCAGCATCGTGTTAACCGCGCAGACAAAAGCAATAGAAAGGGACTGGAACTGACGTCCAATTACCCAATAGTTTCTTCAATTTCCGTTTGGCAAGGAGTTCAAATTCATTATGGCAAGGAGTGTGCCGAAATTTTCTTATATTTTGCGGACATCGATTTAAAGAATAACACTATGGTTTTATGAATTGATAACTTGGTTAGCGATACGGTCCGTTAGAAAAACTGGAATTAGCTGTGAAAAATGGTATAAAAGCTGTTTACGACCTTCAGAGCTATTGGACGTCAATGACCATCTTGGCTTCACTTTTCTCATAGGCCGAATGACTTAACTTCTTGCTCGAGCTGATATAGAGCTCACTGATCAGATCCAGTTCATTGATCAGATCACACTAGTTATTTGACTTAGTTTGCAAAGCGTGATGATAATTGTTTTGTGGAAAACAACATGTACACGATTGTTTAGTTGCCAAAGTTTCCAATCTGTAGGCCCAGAACGTCATCGATATACCGGTCAATTTTTTAATTTCGGAAAATTTCGTAGTCATTATAATATTTCAACCTTTGATCTCGTTCCTGATTAGTCAACAAATCTCCAGCTAATTCTGTCACATTATTTCACAACTGCCACAATCTGCGCGCAATGATAATTTTATTGCACGCCATCTGTATAGAGCCGACGCCCACAGCGGTGTTGGCTCTATACTGATAGCCAGACCCATTTCCCCTGGATTGCCCATACCATTTCAACCACTTTTACTCGGTTATCTTGAACTCGGTTAACTCATGAACTCTCCCTGTAGATCTAGTAGCGACCTTAAGCGTGTAGGACGAGAACGCGACGGCAAACAAATACATTGAACTAAATGATCGCAGACGAAAGCCTATATTCTATCATCCATCGTATGAAAATAATACAGAATCAAGGTTAACACAGGGTTTATGCTACTTCCTCCGCAGCACAGAGTAGATAAGACATACAGAGACGTAACTGACTGTTGTAAACACTGCGGAAGATTACGTTATCATGTACCCACTTTTTTTCAGGCGACCAGGCGAAAAATAATCAACTGCGCGTGCTCAGCAAGTTTAAAGTGAGTCGTCATCAGGTCGTCATCCAATCAGATGCATGCATCTAGTAACTTGCCGAGCATGCGCACAAAAAAAGTGGGTACACTAGTTACGTCTCTGTATGTCTCTACTCTGTGTCCGCAGGCCATACAGCGCCCGTAATGAGTATGCCCGTTCGCAGGTTAAAATTTGAAATCTGAGATGAAGGCTTGTTTTCGCCTCTCTATAAGGAGGTAGAGGGTTTATGTTTGAGAAACGTTCTAGGACCAGTTGAAAGTAGGGCTTTCACCAACTTATGTAAGCGTTGTATACAAGACGTGATAATCTATATTTTGCCGTTGTAAACAGAGCAACGAGGACGTCTAAAACTCCCATGGTATTTTATTTCCTAATTCCAGTTCGTTTTCTTGTATTAATATGAGTTAATAGTCTCTCTCGGTGCACTTTAATCCTGCTTGTAGTGACTGGGGGTGTCACCCCCTCCCAATAATTGTGGATAATAAATTTTCATGTAAATGTCAGATAAGTGTCATTGAAAATTTAGTCAACAATCGTGCATGTCTAAAATCGTGCAAGAATTAGCATTCAATATAAAATTTAGGTTAATTAATAGTGGTATAAATTTAGCATCAGAGATGATCCTAAAAATTTTGAGAGAATGAAAATTCTAATGTCCAGAAATTTTTTTATTTAGTCCCCTCCCCCCAACAATTTTGGGAAAAGAAATATTAATTAGTGGCTATAAAGTTAAATATTTTCTGGTAAAATTATTAACTAGACAAAAATCAGGTAGATTTTTGTTGCCCCCCCCCCCCAAATTGGAAGCCTGATCGCGAAGTTCTTGATAATTATAAAAGTGTAAAATTTAAGGCTGTTTTGGAAACTCCGCTAAAGTCTTAGTTCTATCTTTTTGTTCGCGTTTATGCAGTTAATTTTGTGCACGGTCAATGAACACATTGTATTTGAGAATAATGGAACGAATCATCCAATAGCAACGTTTCAATTCAGTCATTCAACCATGCTATTTAAATATTAATAAACCTAAAACAAAGGATGTGCACGGTGTAAGGTACGGCTCAACATAAACTCCCAGCTCATTATAACCGTTTTGAAGTTTACTGGGTTTCCATGCAGACCATGTCTCCAAAGACTATGGTTAAGCCTTGCTAAAGTTCGGTATAATGTCTAACGATAGCCTATCGGAGGGAAGATGGCTGTGAAACTCATTAGAATAACAATAGAACTCATTATCTATGTTAGTCAACCTTTATTCATAAATATGGTCCTTCACCGTCACGTGTGTATTGTGCTTTTGCCAAATTCATCAATAGCAATTTTAATTCACCAATACCCGAGTCACGGATAGGCAACTTTCCTAAAACATTGCTATTGGTTAGTTGGGCAAAACTACAATACGCACGTGACGGTGAAAGGAGTGAAAGACCAGATTTAATGAATTAACGTTGACTAACATAGAAATGAGTCCCATTGTTATTCTAATGAGTTTCACAGCCATCTTCCTTTCGAGAAGCTGTGGTCTAACTCCAAAATCCCAAGAATAGTGCAAAGGTCAGAGGGGCAGGTGGGTTACAGACAATGGCGTACAAAACTGCCGGGTCATTTCTTGTATTTAAATGTACCCAGTACACGCTTCCGGAAACTACGTCACCTTGGCTATACAGCCTCGTTTTCGTGATTGAGACGCGGGCTTAAACCAGTGAACTCTAAAAAGGACTGGAACGATAACTTGGCCGCCATCTTTGAAGCCAAATTGAAGGCCGCCAAGTAGTTTAGTTTAGTTTAGTTTAGTTTAGTTTAGTTTAGTTTAGTTTAGTTTAGTTTAGTTTAGTTTAGTTTAGTTTAATAACTTCATCATCAAATTTACAGCAGATGATTGGTGAGCAGACAGAGCGTAGCCCCAATTGAATCTGCCTACCAAGTGAATATGGAGTGGAAAATGCGCCGCCTGAAATCTGCATTTCAACACTAAATAGCTGTATTTCATCTTTTCTCAGGAGTCAAAGTGCGAAGTTTTTTTCGGCACGTTCGAACTTGTGTAATCTTTTGAATAGGAAACTGTCACCCAGGAATTTTTTGCTGCTAGTGGATGTAAAATGCTAACTATCCAGAAAACCAGGTTTGAATCTTTAAAATTGAAGCCTTTTGATAAAAAGTACTTTTCGGCATAATTTTCGCTCAAAAACAAACTTTTGAGTGAATTTCCCGCTTCTCGAAACTCTCCCTAGTTCTTTTGAAAGTTAATTTATTCCTGCGCTTGGCTTCAAATTTTGCTTCAACCAATCATAGGACTTAATCACTGGAGTTATCGTTCCAGTTTACTTAAGAGTTCACTGGCTTTAACTAATGTCGGATACACGAAAACGAGGCTCTACAGCCAAAGTATTGTTTTTAGACATTTACTAGTTAGTCACCTGGGTTTAGTTGGGTATATAGGGGACGTTTTGTGGTTGGGATCAGTTTATTTTTTACAAATTCAATTACCTATACTCATTATACACAATATTGAATTAGCTGCCTAAAATCCGACTTGTCCCCAGTCGCTCATCCCGGGTTGTGCGATGGGAATGGAACCAGAACCGTTGTGTATTTTGAACTGATTCATTAACAAAGATTTGTAAGTTAATATATTTATTTTTAACTACACTATATTATACATATGTCAAATAGCATTGCGCTTCAATGCATCCTCAAATTTGTATTTACACAATTTACATTAATACGAGTTAGTTGTCCTGGTTTTGAGTTCTCTGCAAGTACCGATTTGGTGTGTTATGCTGTTACAACTCTGTTAAAACGTGTAGCCTGTGTACCAGTCCCCTACACACTCACGTGTATTGACTGTGCAATAATCTCAAATTTCTTGTCCAACAAGACTTACACACGTAAAAATCTCACATCTTGTATAACAAGTCTGCCAACAAGTCGTCAACACGTTGTGTTTGCACTGCTTGTCCCAAGTTGTCAACAAGTTTGGAACAAGCTGTTAACAACTTGTACAACCTTGTTGATATTATCGCATTGTTGCAAGGTTGTTCCAGCAAGTCCGATACAGTCATGATATAACAATATTGTTACAACCTTGTGTCATCAACCTTGTAGCATTCTTGTTATATCATCATGACTGTATCAGACTTGTTAGAACAACTTTGCTACCAGTCTGATAATGCCATCAAGCTTGTTAGAAGTTGTTAACAGCTTGTTTCAAACTTGTTACAACAACTAGGAAAAAGTAGTGCGAACACAACTTGTCGACAGCTTGTGGACAGATTTGTCACAACTTGTGCGTTTTTACGTGTGTAGCAGATATTGCATAATTTACGCAAATGTAATAAGCATGGCCGCCAAAGGAATAAAATATTAATAAGAGGCTTTTGATTTCATTTTATTAATAAGAGGCTTTTGATTTCATAGTAGATTTCATAGCGTCTTAGCGCGGATGACGAGCCAACAACAGGATTGAAATCTTCTTATTCGTCAACTCTAAACCACATATTCAACAGGACTTTACACTTTCATGTAACCAATTTCCTTTGAAGTTGATTTGTATTCATCTCACTCTCTCGGCAGCCATGTTTATTTTTATTTGTATAAATTTTGAGTTTAAGTAGTTCGTTAACTTATCTCAAACAATTTGAGAAATTTGAGATTATTGCACTGTCTACACACAACGGTGCATGTAATGGACTAGAACAAAAAATTTGGACTAGAAGACGTAAGTTAAGCCCATTTTCCACCAGGCGAATTTGTTCCCGCGAACAGTAAAAAGTATAGGAACTGATCCAACTTCTTCGCGGCGAATTTCTTCGCTGACCAATCACATTACAAAGATTTGTTCTTCGCTTCGCGCGAACAAATACGCCTAGTGGAAAAAGGGCTTAAAATGACGCACCCACAGTGACTGAAAATAACGATGAGTAAAATTGCTCTTGCAGTAACACCATGCGATATTTCTTGCAACTCGTGTGGCGATGCTTGTCCAGGAATAAAAAAGGATGTAATTCGCCAGAGCACTTACAAGAAAAACAGCACAGTGCATGCAAGAAAACTGCGGTCTATGAATTTTACTTGTCAATCACCGTTTGTAATGTTACTGCGTGTGATACTTTATGCACTTGTGTTGTAAAAAGCAATAGCATTTACTAACTAAGCGAGCAAATTGGTCACAGTTGTTGGGGCGGCGTTGCATTCTTGTGATTCGTTGCAAGATTCGTAGATAACTGTTTTTCTTTCATGAACTAATCTTGCAACTATTATGTTCGCTGATTTTCTACAGACATTAAGAAATAAATACCATAGTTTAAAAACAGATTAATGGAACTATTGTATTTCTAGCATGCCTTGTTTGACTTCGTTTGGGCGATGATAGTGCGTTCCAAAGTCAAAGAAAATGTGGGAATGCACGAGTTCCCCCAATCTGGCTATAAATTGCGGTCTCGCATGGGTTTCCAAGTCACAAATTTAACTGAAACGAATTTATTTTTAACGAATTCATGTTTGACAATGGCGGATACTTCGGGAAATATTCGGGGGGGGGGGGGGCTACCAATATATGACCACCTTAGGTCTTTTTTGCCTTGAATTCCGTGTAATATATAGCTTAATTTGTAGCGGCATATCAAGGCTTTGATGGTTGAAACATTATTGTTACCGCTTTGTTACAGTTATCCAGCTAGCCATCCAGTGGCCGACACTTTATGAAATATTGGGGGTGGGGGTGGGGTTCGTGCCCAAGGCACGGAAAAATCAAAAAATTTGGATCCCGGAAATGGCATTTGCAGCATTCTGAGAACATATTTTGTAAAAAACTAGGTTTTCAAAACACTGTTTTAATGGTGCATTTAGTTAATATAAATCAGATGCTAAGCATAGAAAACCAACATTTCAGAGAAAATATTTACATGATTATTAACATTTGTGAATGGAATTGCAAGCTGGTTTAATTTAATTAACACGCCAATGACAATGTAAAAAAAACTTATTCGCTAAGTGAGTGAAATTTATTCGCTGCGCACGCTTTTGTTTTTGTTGACATAAAATTGGAATGTTAATTGAATTATCCATTGTTTTTGAGCATAATAGTTTAATACGCATTCAATTATTATTGTGCAGCAGGAAATTTCACAGCTAAACTATAGTATAAGTTTCAAAAACAACAAAAAATCGACAATGCCATTTAAAGAAGTGCCTGTTGCAAAAAGTTGATCTCCTAGTATCCGTCAAAAAGAATATGTTGTGACAATATAAATGCGTATGTTGTGACATGTACAGTATAGAAACATATATTACTACATTGTTTGGTATATTGCTTACTTTTTTAGCTTACGTTTTATCAAATAGTTATTATTTCATATGACAACTACGTTATATCAGTGTGATTTATGTTATTTGGTACAAGATTTTTACAGTCTTTCAAAATTATTGGGGGCTCGTTCCCCCTGCCCCTCCCCCCCCACCTAGTATCCGCCTATGTAGCCATCAAGTCCTGAAAAACCCTGGAAACATAGACAAGGAAATGTACAAAAAATTCTATTTTCACTTTCACCCTTGAATCCAATATTATATACTTCAACGGACAACAATCAATAGTAGAAATATCTATCTTGGAGCAAGTTATACGTTAAGAGCATTCACAATACCTTGCATTTTTCTCTTTTGGGTGTCAGCTAACTCTTGCCAATGTCTTCTATTATCTAGAACTCCATCAAGCATAGGTTGCATGTTTGGACACAGCAGCGCAAATGCCTAAAAATGTCGGACAGATTTGTATAAGATTATACATTTACGATATAAAACGTGCAGTATAAGAGTATGCGAAGGGTGATGTCCAAACATTTTGGGCAATATTTACGATCAAATCATCTTCGTGAATAAAAATATCACGTATAGCATGTTTATCAACAGTTTCAAACCTTATAGACTGGCAAACAAATTCCGTCGATAAATCCAATCTGCATTTCTGGTAATTTATCTTTCTTCCCTCTATCCATCATAGCCTAGAGAAAATATGGTTCAGTTAATGTAGTTTACTTTATGTTTAGTAATTTAGCTTATCAGATTGACTATCGTCTGGAAATGCAGCTAGTACTATTGCAAACTCCTGCGTTGCTACTCCAATCTTTAATATTCTTACAACTTAGCATCCACGCCATCAAATAATAACTGTTGAATGGAAGTTGGATTACAGTTAAGTTGGAAAACTATATGACAAGATTAGAACTTATTATCGCAAGTAAGATGCCTCATAAATTTTATGAAATTTAAATCATATGCATGGACAGCGCATTCCATGGGATGCACATTCAATGATAATAGACTGAAGTGTTTAATGATGCTTGTGATGATACTCTGAGTGTATATCCACACCAGGCAAGCTTGAAAAATATGCCTGACCACGGTGGGAATCGAACCTACGACCTTTGTAATACTAGCCCAATGCTCTGCCAACTGAGCTACGCGGTCAGATCGGTTCGAGTATGTGATGGGCTAGTATTCCAAAGGTCGTAGGTTCGATCCCCACCGTGGTCAGGCATATTTTTCAAGCTTGCCCGGTGTGGATATACACTCAGAGTAACATCACAAGCATCATACTCACCTGAGTACATTACACCAACACAGAAAAATCGTTACTGAAGTGCTTAAGTTAGTATCTCTATACTATAGTCTCTAAGAATCTAGTATATAGGTTGTTTTGTTTTAATATACAATAGGAACAGACCAAACTGTTTGTAATAATGACGTTGCATTTTTACATGAACAATAAGCTTGTTCAAAGAATACTTTTCATCGAATACCATGCTCCGGGCAACTCATGCTCTGAGGCTTACCACGCTTCAACGGGAAATTCGACTTTGAATAACCCGCTCGTGCCCAGTCCGTAGTCTAATTTTATCGGTCGCAAACATGGCAAAATCAAGAAATCAGGAAATGTAAATGATATTATTATATGGCTTTTCAAAATTCTCTATTCTGATTGGTTGACAAGCGGTCCGTAAAAACCCATATCCGGACCGTGGTCCATATTTTCCGTATCTGGACCGGTGTCCCGGATGTCGTTTATCTGGCGGGAAATTTTTGCTTTGCAAACAGAAAAAATATTTGCTTTTTAAATTTCCAATTGTGCTTTACAGATAAAAATTTCAAACAACCAAATTGTTTTTGATTGAGCATGCATGCCTACCGTATATTGTTACCCAGTGAAACTGACGATAGCCGATTTAATTCGCGCGAAGAGCATATGCTCACAGACTCAGTTCAGCCATATAATAAACCGATTATTGACCTCGTTTATTCGGTCTGTACTGTGAAATATCAGACCTCTGTTTTTTGCATGCACCTCGCTCCTTCGTCGCTCGGTCCATACTAAAAAACCTCGGTCTGATATTTCACAGTACAGACCTCACGCTCGGTCAATAAACCGTTAATATTGCGGTTGCCATAGACACAAAACAATAGACACTCCGAAAATTGTAAACATTTTTATTCTTTACGTTTGGACTATAATTTAAATCTTCTTCAGAAGAAGAAGACTTAAATTATAGTCGAAACGTACAGAATAAAAATGCTTACAATTTTTGGAGTGTCTACTGTTTTGTATTTATTATAATGATAATATGTCTGGTAATATGTGCAATATATCTTACAGCTGGCTGTTCCTTAAACTCCTCCATTTCTAAATCTCCTTGCAAGAAAAATTCCTCAGAAACTAATTTCGCCACCTAAAAACAAGCAAGTTAACAGTTCACTAAAGTTCTATCTATTTCACGAGTGAATGTAGCAAATTAGCCTTTCTCACACTATGCAACCCGGCCTTGTCCGTCATGTTAGGTGGAAAATCGTACAGCAACAAGCGAAAGAGCGATTGGGAAATGTTTGAATGAAATGCAAACTGTTCTTATGAAGAGTAGTACTGTGTTGTTTACTAAATTTACACTTCGCTCGTTACCGTTCACTGTCCCCGTGCGGTTTGTCACTCACAAGTGGTGAACAAGGTCTGCATTGTCGCATGGCGTGAGAAAGACTAATTGGATCTAAAAGAATACAAGGCCACCAGGACTGGGTTAGAATGCGAACCCACCAGGATTTTAAAATGTGGATTCCTAAAAATTGGTATGAACACGAGCCTAATAGATATGTATTACCAAAATCGTGGATCCTTGTGTCATGAACAAGTGTCATAATTTTGTGTCAAAACATTCAAGAGTGTGACTACATTCCTAGCTATAACGTTTGTGAAATCGACAATTTGAAAATGGCAACATCTGGTTAGTTGAAGTGTTTTGTAGATGGAAATTATCGAGTGGAAATTTATATACATTTATATATCCAGGAACAGCTGCGAAAAATGTAACTTTAGCTCCCTGGCAGGAATCGAATCTGCGGCCTTGTGGTTAGAGCTCGACAATGGACAACTTGCATGTTAGACTAAATTTTAATCTAAGTAAAGAGAAGGAAATCAAACACAACAGTTAAAAAGAACATACTGAAATTAGTAAAATTGCAAAATTTGGTTGCGAAATGTTGTAAAATACAGAAGATATAGCCTTGCGAAGTTTGCATATTTTCAGTATATTTGTATTACGTGCGGAAATTGTTGCCATTTTCGGCTCAAAAATGGTAACAATTTTCGCACGTAATACAAACATACTGAAAATATGCAAACGTCGCAAGGCTATATCTTCTGTATTTTACAACATTTCGCAACCAAATTTTGCAATTTTACTGATTTTAATAAGTTCTTTACGGGAATTTATTATTTTTTGCCTAAATCAAAAATTAGTCTAACATGCAAGTTGTCTATTGGCCTCTGCATGTAGCTCAGTTGGTTAGAGCGCTGCACCGGAATTGCAGGACCGCAGGTTTGATTCCTGCCATGGACCTAAAGTTGTTTCTGGTTAGGTCCAATAAATGTATATAAATTTCCACTCGACAATTTCCATACTCGACAATTTCCATCTACATCTAGTGAGATGCCAACAAAATCTCAACATCTGATTAGACTGTGGAAATTTGTTTTAAAATAAGGTATTAACAGTTTAGCAGTAACTGGCGTAATGTAGTCGCATTCCATTCTCGTACCCAGAGCCCTTCTTACGCGCGGTGCGACGAGGGGCTCTGGCCAAATCCATAACCAGATACCATAAAAACATGGTAAGAAAACAATGTCCGGTGTTAGAACTAGCCAATCAGATGCCAGTTCGGAATATGGATTTGGCCAGAGCCCCTCGTCGCACCGCGCGTAAGAAGGGCTCTGGTACGAGAATGAGTCGCATTCCTGAGTGTTTTGACACAAAAACATGTAACGCATTTTTGGGCGAGTGGAAGGATCCGCGGTTTTGGTAATAAAAAATTACTGATGAATACGAGATTTTCTGGAATTTTGCCAAACACACGGATCATATGAACCAGACGCTGAACCCTTTATGTGATAGTAGTTTTCCATTTCTAGAGCTGTGTTGTAAAGAAGAACTTTATAAAATTAGTATCTCACCCTTCTTTGGACTGCCCATGGTTTAGAGATGGCTGACACATCACAGGCGGTCATCATCATCGCACTAAACAGTAATCAAAGGCGGTTGTGGCCGACTTACGGATGAGATCAAATGAAAGTGGCAGAATGAATTAAGAGCAGTTTGCAGTTGATTTTGCAAACGGGCACCGTGCGAATTTTGCCATTTGTCGTGCTTCTTTTGCCAAATCAAAAGAACGAGCGCGTGCTCCAACCCGATTTCCGGTTCTGAAAGACGCGATTCGCAGCCAAACAGTGCGCGCAAAGCAGGCTGGTCATATCCCATTGTTTAACTGTCCCACACTCAAGTAACCACAAAAGCGCATGCTGAACAATTTGAATATAAACCCAGCTATTGATGCAACAGGGGTTAGTGTCATTGGTTGTTTGATAATTATTTCACCCGACTCAGACGCTGTAGGTTTTTCTGGGTACTTCGACTACCTGCTCTCGTAACAACACTGGCCCGTTATGCGGATGTCCGTTGCTTGTTATCTTTGCAACATTCCCTGATATGACCACGATATATACATTACAAAAATAGTTACCTCAATAAATGTTGATTCTCCTTCTCGTGCCAATCCGTCGTACTGCTCTTTGTCAATTCAAAAAATGTATTCCTATTTCTGTGAGAAATATTAAGAAATGCGAATTAATACTTGACAATTATTCACTGAAGTGGAGATGAATCGTGCAAGGATATTTTAGCATAAATCATTACAAAACAAAAATGACAACAAAAAACATCGAAAATATTTTTTTAAAAATTTGTATTACAGCGCGGCAGCTCCCGAAATTCAAAACAAAACTTGCAAGCTTTTAGTAATTTTATTCATTAGAAATAGCTTTAAAGAATACCTCAACATTGTTAAACAAAACTATGTAGCTTTTGTCGTGTTTGACGGAACCGCAGCTTCGCTTTTAGTAAAAAAAGATTTGCTCGTCTATAACCGGAACAAAATGGGAGGGTATTTTGGTTTGGGGTGAGTAGTGGGTATGAGGTGAATAGTACAAGAACACCCGGAGTTGAGCCAATCAAAATATACTATCAACCTCATGAGTATATGTTAATTCCAATTATAAAACTAATTGCTTGCAGCTAAAATATAATTAGAACAAATTTTTTTTCCGGACAAAAATTTTTTCGGTACTAGTCGGGCACAATCCCGAAAAGTCGGGCAAATTTCTTTCCGCCCCCCTAATTTTTTCCTTCCGGTACGCCCATGTGTAAGCATATATAGGCCTAACCAAAATATGTTGCCTTCTAAAAACTGGTTATGTAAAGCAATGTTATTAATTTAGGATAATAACATGAATAAAAGCATATTTAAAGATACTTACTTAAAATATAAAGCTAAATCTGTGGCTAATATACAAAGTTCTAACATCGTGTACGCGGCTTCATATTCATTCGTAGTTAATCCGCCGAAAATTTCATTGCCCTATTAACAATAAAAGACCATGACAATAACTTGGTTGAAAGATAAAGGACAATAGCTGTTATCGTAATTGAATACGTCTATGCTACGGACCAGCGGTATCTGCATTATTTTAACATCGAGACGAGGCTATAGGGTCATGTTTTGTGTTTTTTTACCCTTTAGCCTCGTTTTCGTGCGTACTTCCACTGAGATACCGCTGGTATGCCGCAGCGGCGTATTCAATTACGATAACAGCTATTAATGGCGTTATAGTCAATATAGATATCCTATTACCTCCGTCAGGTTATTCTGACGGCGCCATGTACCGAAGCCCTTATACTATATATAAGGAGATACTTATGAACATTGGAGGTAAACGAACATAATATCATGGCTATTATAATTCCGAGTTCAAATTGATGTCTCTACTTTTTGCCCTCCCTCGCGTACTACGCCATGTTATTCGAACCGTAGTGGGGGGCAATCCAGGGCACGAGGTCGAATTTTGTGCAAAGCGGTAGCCATATTGACCTATTTCGACAGGATTTAACCATGCACAATGTTTTTACATGGTATAGTAACGGGATGGACATGCAGGTAATAAGGGTGTTTGGCCAAGACTCCAATCCTTAATTATCAAACTTGTGTTCATCATGAACAAAACCTCAATTTTAAATTCAGTTAAAATGGGACATCCACTAAAGTTACATGTGTTATTATAGTTAGCTCAGAACTACGATGATATAACGACATAAATTATCGTTCAAAACGCGGACCGAAATTAGTTTTAGACAACTTGCCTGACTATGCAAAATCATGGTACAATGATCAAAATGATGATGTTCCATTGTTGACGTACTATAGAGACGGGCCAATGGAGAGTCAATTCTGAAAACAAGAATTAAGAAAAATATTTTAAAATAAGTAAGAATAACACAAAATCTAATCCCTGGCTATAACTGAATCATCACATCTTTGACATTAGCAAAGTTATACGCTTAAAGTTCCCCTCCAAAACCGACCTTTATTGAGGGAGTGTATACGTCGGAAGTAGAAGGAACTTTGTGATTTTAATTTTTAAAGTTTGAATTTATTAAATTTCCTAATGCGTTAATATTTTCTGCATTCTAATAAAAACAGATTAAAGTTTAATACCGCCGTATTGTTTAATCTATTGGAGAGGTTCATATATGACCTCTCACTACTGTTACCTCTCATAGGCTTAATACGCATTTCATTGCTTAATGGTAACGGCAGCGGTAGTTGGAAGTCAAAATCTGAACCTCTTCATTGTTTACGTCCAATTATACTGATGGTCGGTACAAATCTTTGGACAAATCTTATTTGGTCAAAAAACCCGAAAAATTGGTTAAAACCCAATTTTTTGTTGTTTTAACCAACAAAACACTAGTCATATAAGTCCATCTGAGACACAACCATGCATGCAATTCAAATTGGTTAATTTAACCAAACTGTTTTTACAGTGTATCCCATTGACAAATCCGTCTTATAGTTGATACGGATCGATCCATTGGTTAATCACGTTTATTGTCAGATAATATAACTTTACCAATGGTAAAATGTCATATACTGGTAGCGCGTCATGCAGCCCTAAAACAAAAGATTCTGCTAGCACGAAGTAGTTGTGGGTCGCAAATAGTCAGGAGCTAACCCATTCACAGTTTTTTTGTAGTTATCCCAAACGACGCAACAGTAATCAAAATGAGGTTGAACTAACGAATCAAACACACTGTAGCGCATTGCCAGGGACAAAAATCTCGTGCGGTTTAGAACTCCAATGCCTGAAGCAATCTTTTTATATATCTTATTAATTTTTCAAGAGAGGTTTTCTTCCATATTTACGCCAAGAGACTTTGTATGGGAAACCATGATTAATAGGATCCCATCGATTGCTAGAGAAGAAGACGAGTTAAACGTATCTTTGGCCAGATCCAATTAACATTCATTCTGTCTTTGATGGATTAAGCTTATTTGCGATAAGCCATTCATTAACATTCACAAGATCTTGATTAAGGTTCTGATCGATATCATGAACATTTAATATTGGCTGCGAATGTTAAATGATTATCATCTGCATGCATGCGTGGCTGCGAATGCTCGAGGCATTGGGTAAGTCATTTATATTGATTACAAACAGCAGTGGTCCTAAAATAGTCCCCTGTGGAACACCACAGGTTAATGAACGGAACAAAACAAATTAAATCAATTACCCGCAACATTTCTAATTCCACAATGTCAAACGCCTTCTTCGAATCTCAATGCTTCCCTCGACGTCCTCTCGGGAAACACAGAAACTCGCTCTTGGGAAAACAAAAGTATTTCCCTTGGGAGCAGACGTGTATATTACATGCCCAGTCATTAGTCGCCTCAAAAAGCGATGATTGCGGAATGAAGGCTTCGGACTCCATTGACTAGTGAGAAGTAATTTGTTGTCGATACGAAAAACATTAATTTGGTCACAAATTATCCTCTCAAAAACGTTTACCACTATATTGGAATATACAATTACTTTATGGTTTCCGTGTTTGGATCAGGCCATCCAAACATGGAAACCATAAAGTAATTGTTTTATAAAATAACAACTTTCCGTGTTAAAATTTCACTTTAAAAACTTTCACTTTGAATTTCCATGTTTGGATGGCCTGATTCAAACACAGGTTTCGACCAATCAGAGCACGCGTTATATACATGTTATTTTATAATAATTGAGATGGGCCAGTAGTTATTAAGTTCGTTACGTTGTGGATTGAGAAGTTCTGAGATACAACTTATACAACTACCTCAAAAACAAAAAGTTTCGAGCGAAGGCAAGGGTATCGGTATTGCTCAATCCGCAGCAGTATAAATAAAGTTTTAAGTTAAATAAAATTTTACCTAGTCTTCTTATCGTCACGTATTATGCCCGCGTATTAATTAGCCATTCCGAAGTTGATGAGAGGACTGGGGACGAATATTAAAAAGTGCCCAAATTACGAAATGAAGCAAATCATAAAAAGACCACCTCAAAATTAGTGAGTATGCAAAGTTTGAAGACATTTACATGAATACCCTTCGAATAATAAGCTTTCGAAAATCGCGATATTTACTATGAAATGTACTGTAATTTTTTGTTTTTGGGGACGCGCATCCCAAAAAAACTTTTATAGTCAGTAATTTCACAATTTTCGAAAGCCTATTATTCGATGGGTATTCATGTACACGTCTTCAAACTTTGTATACTTACTAATTTTGAGGTGGTCTTTTGACGTGATTTGGTTCATTTCTGAATTTGGGCACTTTTTAACACTCGTCCCCAGCTCACTTTTCAACTTCGGAATGGTAAAGGGATCCTGCAATCAAGTCAGGGCATTCAGGAAGCAGCCTAGCAGTCATTTTATCTAAACAGTTGCTTTAGATTTGCTTAGCCTAGATAGATACAAGAAAAGACTGTGGACGGATTTCGAACAAACGCACATCATTTCTGAAACTGGCAGAATCAAAATTTCTGAAATTTTCGCCACAGTACGATGACTTAGAAATCAGAACTCTTTGCATACTTACTTAACTTGAAATGAATTACTAGTTCCACGATGATCCAAATCGTGACAAAGACAAGCGACTAACAATGCCAATCGCTCAATATCGGAAAAATAACAACGAACAGCACTGTTCTAGAGAAAAGAAAACAAGCATATGTAAGTATATAACACATACGCAATTCAAGTCACTTTGCTTTTCGTATAATACGTACTACACGACGAGAACTATCTGGAAGGATTGCTGAAAAACTATAACACGAGCTTCGATGTTTCACAGATCAGTTGTTTAACACTAACTGTGGTTATATACTATATCTAACTGTACAACCGGCCGGAGGTAGTTCTATCCTGCAAACCATGAAGATTATTTTCATTGCTACCTACATGGGACCTCACACGATTAAATACTGTAAGTTGTGTGTCCGTCGATTTCGAAACTTTTGAAAGTGTTCATCTAGGATGCTTATTAGACTTCTGTAAGATGTCAGTAATCTTGACGTTTGTTCACAATTTCACTACAAAAGTCCAGTTTTGACATTACAATTGAACTCGTGAAGTATAATATATATATATCATAGTAAATGGATGAATTTATGGGGGTGGGGTGGGGGTTTACCCTCCTGGACTTGGCAAGATGGGAGGGGGTGCAAATTCCTTATCAAATCCACTTTTATAATTTGCAAAAATTACAAAAGCAGAGACAAAGAGAGATAGCAACATATACCAGCAACATATACCCCTATACCAGTTCTGGGTAGGTAGGTAGGTAATACTTTATTTAAAATTAACAGAAAGAAGAACACGCTAGCCCCATCAACTCTAGGCTGGTTTCCATGGGGGGCGTGTTTAGATCTTAAAAATCATTAAAAGGAAAATTTAAACTAAATATTAGTACACACATACTGTACACGTTACTATATACAAATAATTAGGAAGCATGTCGCTGTCCAACAATTGATTTAAACGAATGAGGCGACTCGGCCAATTTTGCTTCGTTTGGGAGTTGATTCCAGAGCATAGCGCCGCTATATTTAAAACTTTTTTTAAGAAATTCTCGTTTCGGTTTAGGAATTGTTAGATCAGTTGCTGTGTTTCGAAGATGATAATTAGTTTGATCTATTTCTCTTCTCACGAATGACCCCCGGAGACCTGGCGCAGTGTGGTCGTTAAGTATTTTATACATTAATACTGACTTTGCACCAGACCGCCTATTTTCAAGTGTATCCCAAGAAAGCATGTTGAGAAGATCAGCTGAGCGAGTATCATAATTAGCACCCGTTAGGACTCTTGCTGCACGAGACTGAAATCTTTGCAACTTGTCTCTTAGCAACTTACCACAAGTGTCCCAAAGGGGGGAACAATAATCAAAGTAGGGCTGCACAAGACTTTTATAAATCGATTCTAAGGTATGCATTGGAACAAAGGGCTTTATACGTTTCATAGCGCCAATAGCAGCGCTCGCCTTCTTGCATATCATTTCAATGTGACTATCCCAATTAAGGGTTTCATCTAGTTTTACTCCTAGGCACATTTGTGTAGCAATTCGTGATATGGGTTTTGCATTAGCCACAACGGGTTCCTCACACATTATATTATTAAGATTATACGGGGAGCCAATAAACATCATTTTACATTTTGATGGATGCATCTGCAGCCTATTTTCTTTAAGCCAGTTACAGACATGGGCAAGATCTGAATTTAAATTTACAACAAGTTCATTTGCATCGTAGGAAGATGAAAAGATTTGAGTATCATCCGCGTACATGCATGGATTAGTTGATTTCAAACAATCGGGCAAATCATTAATATATAATAGGAACAGCAGTGGTCCCAGTATAGATCCCTGGGGCACTCCACAGGTGATAATTTTATTACTAGATAATTCTCCATTAACATTACATTGCTGTTCTCTATTTGTTAAATATGACTCAAACCATTTTAATTCTACGCCGAAAATTCCAAATTGCTCATTCATTTTATTTAACAAAATGCGATGGTTTATAGAGTCAAATGCCTTTTTGATATCTATGAACACAACCCCATTTAACTTTCCATTGTCCATATTTTCTAGCCACTCATCACACATTTGGATGAGGGCAGTTACAGTTGAATGCTTTGGACGAAATCCAGATTGAAACTTTGACAGAAGAGAGCTTTCAGACAAGTATCTATATACTTGACGGAAAACTTCCTTCTCAAAGGCTTTACTCACCACCGGTAAAATTGAAATAGGCCGATAGTTCTCACATTGTCTTTTATCCCCGGATTTAAATATTGGCGTAACACGAGCACGCTTCCATTCATCTATATATACGCCCGTTGCAAGCGACAGATTGAAGATGAATGTCAACGAGGGTGCAATTATGTTTGCAGATAATTTTAGAATTTTAGCAGGAATTTTATCAAGACCTGTTGCTTTACATGCTTTTAGGCCTCTTAGGGTCGAGGCAACACTATCAACGGATATTGGATCCATTTTCTGACTGTAGTCTAGCTAGTTACCTTTATTATAGCAAACATTGTTTGTCCTACATTGAAAGCATGACGCCAGTTATGGTACGTAACTTGACGATAATTTTTCTTAACTGACATTATCCAACGACACAGAACCTAACGACATTAAAATAAACAAAAACGTTTCAGAGTATTCAGATGCATCTAATCCAATAAACATGCAAATTTTACAATAGGATTTTTGTGGGCTCATATAGGAATTTTTGGAACAATACATTGTACCTTTCACTAGAGTTCAAAACATGAATAATGCGAAATATCACGTGAGATACATTGTCAGCGACTGTAAGATTGCAGACCAGCTTATTGTATTATGGACTATTTATTTACAAACACAGGACTGGTACAGACTAACAATAGTGCTATTCACAACCCATTTGCCAAAATGTTCCATTGCCCTCCCAGTCTCGAAAAGCCCACTGTCAAACGTACACGGCAGAAGTGCAGTCTTTTATGGTATTTGGAACTGCTGACAATGGCAATACATGGATCAGGGAATCCTGCAAATCGTGTGATTTTACCGCACCATCGCGCATGCACGCGAGAAGGCGGTTCGCGCAAAATTTTTAAACTGAGCAATTTGTTAAATGGAAAATCCCGAGTGGAATAGCAAAACCTCGCGTGTTTGTGCGGAATCCCACGATTTGAGGCATTCCTGATCCACGTATGGATTATATATCGAACCATTTTTAAATTAATACATCAGTCTTGGCAAATATGCAATATCGTTGCGCTCGGACTTTTCAAGTACGCTAATACAACGTTTCCCTGCGACAAAAGTATAGGTACGTCAATGACTTTAAAAATTTGTTTTTACTGAGTAATTGATATCAATTTTGAGAAAAGTTAACTTACATCTTTCTCAATAGCAAAACGAGAATGCAGATCGAGTTCATAAAACATATTCAAGGTTGCGTAACAAGTGCTCAACTCATCCAATGTATCATCATCAAAACCAAAGTCCAACAAACTTCTTGAAATTTTTGGAGAATCTTCCATTTTCTGTAAAACAAGAAAAAAAATGAAATGGGTATTAATACTACAAAACAACATTGGAAAGATTTTAGAAACCTTTGCGTTTTTTTTTTGTTTTTTTTGACAGGCGAGCCCAAAATGTAGAGCATTTACCTGCATACAACTAACCCGTTAGAGTTTCGGTACAACCTCGTACCCAGGGTTTCTAGGCGAGGGGAGAAAAGACCCTGGTATGACGCTGGTCACGTGATCTGCTAAAATCTAGCAGATTTTTAATTAGCAATCTAAGATGAGGTCAATAAATATTTGATATTTGGATAATTTTTACAGTTGACTTTATAATTTGCATTTTGTATGATTGTCGTAAAGGAGTTCAAGATAGTTCATTAGAAATCTGCTATATTTTAGCACATCACGTGACCAGGTGAGGTTGGTTTCGGTACTGGACCAGAAACTGGTCACCACGTTGATCCATCGTTTTATTACTCAAACTTTTGCATTGTTTCAAACCCTTAATGTTGGTTCGGCGAGTCATTTTTTTAAATATGTTAAAAATTAAACTGATCTAAATGATCAAACGAAACTCTTGTCAATTAAATGGTTCTCGAAGGCGTTCTATATTGGCGGCGTTCACTTAAATGTTTTGCTTTACGCATTTCTCCACGTCCTATATATGGGCAAACAATTAATGCTTTTAAATATTTGTTCAGTGAAAATGCTTAGGCGCGTGAAGAATTAATTCTTGGTGGGCAATTGAGGTTTTCAGCTTACTAATACCACGTTATTCCACGCGTACAGACAAGAATTGCTTGTACGTTGCCCCGAAATGAAAATAAAAAATCGGACATGGTCTCAAAATGAAGGAGCCTTAGGCTTTTTTTGAAGAATCATTATTTCGCTCCGGCGTAGTGTAGAGGTCACTTTTAAGGATCAGGTAGAAGTCACTTTTACTGTAAAAGTGTAAATGCCACTATCATGACAACTATTATGAAAATTTGAAAAAGTTCATTAGACAATACAAAACTTACCATTAGTTTTGTCGTTTCTTCTGGCGACGCTGTTGCATGATAAGACAAGATCTAAAAACGAAATGCCATTTAATAAAATTCAGAGGAAATCAGGTAAATAGATAACAATCGTGATCGAACATGTCGATTATCGTCATTTTAATTATACACAACATGCACACATATCCAGAAAGTATAAAGTCTTACTTCAAAAGCAACTCTTTGTTTTGCCATTGCCTTCTGTACATCTTCATACACGGATGTATTATGTATAGCCATTCCACAAAATATCGCGAAAGCCTTCAAAAACAACACAGAAAATAAATTTACTATCCAGCCGTATACATGTACAAAATCCCTGGGTATTGTAATATATTATAAAACACATGGGGATCTATTTCCAGGAGCATCCAAATTAGGGGTGGGGCAAAGAGGGCAATTTGCGCTGTGCCCCAATTAAAAACTAACTGAAATATATATGATCCTTGTGACGTTGAAATATATATATTACTGTCAAGTAATCATCCCCCTTACAATAATAGTGTCTGACATGTTTTCAGTTTTTTTGCTGTGGTTTTGCTTTGCATATATAAAATTTGCTACTTGCATTAAGACTCATCATTTGATTTTGAAAACTTGGTATAATTGCTCGCGAAACACTTTTATTCCTTGTTTAGAAAATCTTAGGTCAACATCGATGAAATATACGTGAACGTACGACCTCCTACGAATTTCTGAAGCATTTTTTAACCCCTGTAAAGCCGATAAACGTTTCTATTTAACTTCAGGAATGATTGTCCTAGAAGTTTAAGAGTACGGAAATCCCATGACGGCCCCGTAAACGTTCACGAACGGCCATATCCATGGAAGATAGTGTTTCACAGTAAGTTGCCGCGTGGATGGTAATCTAAACTACCTGGAAAAATAAAACCCGAATGCTACTGATCTCTTAACGAAGGTCTTTTCGCTGGAAGTCCAGATTCTAAATTAACGGTAGCTTATTGCTTTCTATTCACCTGAAACAGGTTTTCATCATTAGCGTTGAACGGCGTGTTATCCATTTTATTTAGCAGTTGAACAACTCCTAGTATCTCTCCAGTGCTGTTATGAATAGGCATACACAGTACGGTCTTCGTTTTAAATCCTGATGTTTCGTCAACCTGTAGTATAAAGGGAAAATATTCACTCTTGTCATGAATTGTACATTACCGTAGTCTGATCGATTCTCAAGGACAATAATGATGCAGGTTTCATCAGACATTACCGGCTGCAGCAGATGGTAGCGAGCTTCAAAAACGTTGACATGCACATATACGATGTTATGTTTAATCATATAGAGAGCAAAATTACTCAAATGTGATTGGCTAATGATGAGGGCATTTTTTGTTAATTCAGGGGAAAATTATTTGTGCCTGATTGGCTGAGATGCAAGCGCGGGAAGTTTCTTGTTTTAATTAGCAATAAAAACAATGGCTTCTTGCTTTCTCATTGGGGATAATGATGTTGTTGAAGAATTAACAACACTGGAAAAAGTACAAATTTATGGGTTGGAGTATTTAAGAAATGGGCAGCATTAAGCCAGGAACATCGGCGAAGACATGGAGACATACGTGGTTCGAGAACTTGACAAGTTCACAATTAACTTACGAATAAATTTTGCCCCTATGATTAAAGGTGGATTGAAAATTGCTGCAACTTGCAACAAAATCTGATTTCAACGCATGTTAAGTAGAAATGTTGACACGTGTTGCCTCGTGATTTGTAATTTATGTGTAAACATTTTCAGATTTTGTTGCAAGTTGCAGCAATTTTGCAGATTTTGTTGCAAGTTGCAGCAACACGTGTATCTCGTATTAAGGCGGATTTCCAGTCCTCGCACGAAGCTCCTCGCAGCTCGCTGCGAGTGATGCATGAACACTTTCATCCAATCACAATGCTAAACAGTTAATTTTAATTAGATTCAAGCACTCGCAGCGAGCTGCGAGGAGGTTCGTGCGAGGACTGGAAAACCGCCTTTACTCCAGCTTAACAAGTAATCGCTTGAGTTCCTCGTAAAATTAAGGTTTAATTTCACTTGTGTTTTCAAAGTTTCACAAATTTGTGAAACTTTGAAAACACGCGTGAAATTAAACCTTAATTTTCCTCGGCCACATGCGAATATAAATCTATTTCCGTCCATAAGCGCGCACACAACATGAAAATATTTAATATTAATGTTATTGACGATATGACGTTAATTAGTGTAGTAATTTAATGATGCGGAACATTCTAAATTAGAATGCCATATGACAACAAATTAACATGTTACAAAGTCATAACAATCCATGCATTCAAACGTATGTAACATTGAAAATTACTTACGTCTGGATCAAAGCGCGGGTCGGCATAAGCATCTGGAATGTTCAAGGTCTAAAAATAAATGCAGATTTTGCAAAGCAATTCAATTTACCATTAGATAAGACAATTATGTACAAATTAATGATTGATGATCACATTCTGTTCTTGTGTGTGTAGATAAATATTATTACGTCTTGTGGCATTCACACATGATGCTGAGATAGAAAAGTGGTTTTCCATCTGTGATGTATCGATATACTTATTAGCACAGCATAAGCCGTTCTAAATGGCAACCTAGAACGGTCAAACGTCCACGTATCGACTACATGCACTCGAAACACTGGAAATAGTATTGTCTTCACCAAGCTCAAAAAGTGTAAAGAAAATTACGAGAGTGGAAATTCAATATAACTTATTTTTGTCACAAGGAAAAACGGTGAAATTCCCTACCTTATACCCTTAGCCGTTTCCTTACAGTAAACGCTTTCTTTTCCCCTATTTACTCCTATTATTTGGCAGTCATTCCCCCGCCAATTCCGTATACTTGCACACGCGCTTGACATTTGTATGCGGTGTTATAAGCATTGTATTATACAGACGTTTTTCTTGATAACTTTCCTTGACATTTTTACTTTCTCATGTGTACAGTCAACAAATTTTCCTTGACAAGTTTTCCTTCACACGTTTTGTTGCACGCGTACACAGAATGTTGTTGAAGATTTATCTCACGTCAACGCTGCATTTTGTTTGCCAAAACCATAGAAGTATTTTTTTGGTACACTTGTTTTCCTTGGCGGCCGTACACACGAACAAATTTTCCTTGTCCAATTTTCCATGACTGGCTTTCGAACAAGGCTCCTTGGCAAAGAAAAATTGCCATATATACACAAGCAAACACAACGTGTCAAGGAAAAATTGCCGTCTGTACAAGGCTGTGACCTAAGGTACGTTTTCACAGGTGGTCGAGGGACTATAGGACTAAACTTTGGACTGATTTGAACAAAAGTGTGAACGAAAGGAGAACTGATGATTATGATTTTGGAACGGGCTTTGTTTACCGTTTACAGCTGATTTCACATAACTTTTCCGTGAATGTTGCGAACTTCGTTCCGAACTTCGTTGTGAAGTTCAAAAGTTCATACTGAAATTCACAAGTCGGTTTGTAAACAAAGCCTCTAATTGTAAACAAAGCCTCTATTTTTGTTAAGGGACCAATCAGAGGCTTTGTTTACAAACAGACTTGAGAATTTCAGTATGAACTTTTGAACTTCACAACGAAGTTCGCAACATTCACGGAAAAGTTATGTGAAATCAACTGTAAGCTTGTTTAGCTATTTGATTTGAGTTACAGAATTATACACTGCATGTTGTTCTGGTATTTAGAACTGTTAAAACTGAAGATAAGAGATGAGGCTGTTCGGAATTATGGATAAAGACTTAAGATTCACTTGTCCACGTGACAGCATTTAACGTCAATATATTAATTGGGCTTAACTATATACTCCCCTGACGAAAGCGTTTGCTACAAGTATATCTTTTCTGCTTCAGATTGTGGCTGTTGTAAACTCCAACTAAACCTTAATTGGGGTGCCTCGCACCCAGGCGCTGTATAATAGTTTACATGAAGTATATTACTATATATGGGCAGGCCCGCAGAGATTGGGGACAGGGGGAAGCGCCCCGGCCAGGGCCCAGCTCAAATTAATTAGGGGCCCCAAAAGCAACGAGGGCCTTAAAATTTCTTGATACAAAAATACTTAAAGAATATAAATCCTAGCTGTGTTAGTGCCGAACAATATGCAAATGCTATAAAGCGTACTTCTCCTGTTTTACAATTATGACGTCATAAGGGCCCCCTTGGAACGTTTTACGCGAATGAGACTTGTGTGTTCTGAAATCGGCTATAAGATAGCGTAACATATTAGCTGAATATAAAATGGTAAAAAAATCCTAGCTGAGGGAAAGATCTAAACGTCAAATGAATGCAATCACATGAATACCTGTCCTGTAGTTGCAACGTGACCAGTGATACCAATATTGACTGGAAACCTTACTTCAGCTCGACTACTGTAAAGAAATACAGTTTATGAATAACAAGGCTGATAATATATGCAAGTCCACAGTGAGGCACGTGTTAACATATGGGTACTTATTAGTGATTGACCGATTGTGCAACAATTGGAAATTACCGATTATTCATGCCACAATCTCCCCGATGCAGATTTTATAATGACGTCATACAGGGTTCGTAGTCTCCAAGACCAAAAAAATTCCAAGACTTTCAAAGATTTTTTCTTCCTATTGTCAAAGACTTTTCAAAGACCTTTGAAAGCAATCAGATGTCGAAAAATTGCGATGTATAAGCACCATTTTTACCAGGTAATTATAGTCCCGTCAAATCACATATAAAATGCACTTTTTCGTCGATATTTGCGAAAATCTTGCTTCAATCAATCTATTTTATTAGCTAGGAAATCGTATAATCAAATAATCACTAAAGAATTTAAAGACTTTT